ATACTTTATATTGGGATTGTTTTTACAGTTTTTAAATCCGGATATGTCATAAATTTATAAATCATAGGCACTGCCTTGAAAATTTTCGAATCCGGGAATGTTAAGGGTGTTTGTCATCAGGACTGTGTCATCAAATACGGGTACGATTCAGATATAACTGTGTTTTGTTGGTTTTTTTATACGGGTATACTACAGGTATTTATTTCAAGGACTTTATTACAGCTTTCTTATAATGGTGGTTTACCCGGTTTAGTATTTGGTACTGGGTATTACAGATTTCATAAACAGGTGTTGGTGCAGGTATTTGTCAGAGGAACTGTGCTGTGAAATTTTTAATACGGGTATGTTTCATATATTTTTATAGGAATTGTTATTGCAGTTTTCAAATCCGGTCGGGTATATTACAGATATGTGTCATAGATACTGTGTTTTTTTTTTTTTTTTTTTTTGGGGGCGGGGGGGGGGGGGGAGGGTATTCGTAAATGCTACAGATATTTTTATACGAAGTGAGTTTGTAAATTTATATTACGTGTATGTTACAAGTGTTTGAATTTTGTAATAGAGAACTAGTTTCTGTAGTTTTTCTAACACGGTAATTTACATGATTTCAAACGTACCTGTTACCAGTTTTTAATAGCGGCTTTTATGTAGGTATTTGCAAATGAGACTGTATTTTGAACTTAATAATACTGGTATACTGCAGGTATGGATCACAAAAACTGTCATTAGCAGATTTCTGATTCGGGTATGTTACAGATATTTGTCATTGAGATTAAGATTTGGAGTTTCCTAATACGGGTATGTTAGGGATATATGTCAGAAGGACTGTGTAATCAAATACGGGTACGTTTTAGATATTTTCATGGGGACTGTGCTTTGCTGTTTTCAAATACGGCTATGCTACAGGTATCTAGTACAAGGACTGTTTCCAGCTTTTTTTAATTTTAAATAAGGATACATTTCATATATTTTTATCGGGATTTTTTTTTCTGTTTTTAAATCCGGATATGTTATAAATTGATAAATCATAGGTACTGCGTTTAGAATTTTCGAATACGGGTATGTTCAGGGTGTTCTTCATCAGGACTGTGAAGTCAAATACGGGTACATTTCAGATATTCTTCATGTGGATAGTGTTTTCTGTGGGTTTTTTATACGGGTGTGCTACAGGTATTTGTTACAGGTACTGTTTTTCAGCTTTATAATAATGGTAGTTTACCCGTATTAGTAATAGGTACAGTGTTTTGCAGTGGGTTTTTTTATTGTTTTTGCAGATTTTATTATCCGGGTATAACACATATATTTATCATAGGTATTGTATTTTGAAGTATTATAATAAGGGTATGCTACGGGTACTTGTCAGAGGGACTGTGCTGAAATTTCAAAATACGAGTACATTTTTTTTTCCTCTTTATAATACCAGTATGTTTTATCTTTTTGTCATTGAGTATTTTGTGTGTATCTTTAATAGGCACTTGCTACGATTACCCGCAAAAAGAAACAATAAGAAATAATTATTACTTCCGAGACTAATTGCCGAATCGTGTCACCCGACAGGGACCCAATTTCATACGGAAATTGCAGGCAACAAAAATATAATCTTTTATTCTTAATACAGGTTTCTGTTAAGACACTTTTTATGCAGCTTTCTAGATTGGGTATGATACAGATATTCGTCATTGGGTCTGTGTTTTGAAGTTTTCTAATACGGGTGTATGAATTGTATTTGTCATACGGACTGTGTATTGAAATTTTTAGCTCTGAGTAAGTTTCAAATATCCTGATTAGGACCGTTTTTGGTGTTTAATAATATGGATATTTTTCATCTATATTACATGAAGACTGTTTTGTTGCAGTTTAATAATTCTATTATGTTACAGGTATTTGCTAGGAAGACTTGTTTTGTTAATTTTTCTAATACGGGTATGTTATGGGTATTTGTCAAAGGAATTGTGTGTTGAAATTTTCTAATACGGTCATGTTTCATATTGTTTTCAAGGGGACTGTGTTTTTCCATTTTCTAGTACGGGTATGCTTCAGTATTTATTAGAGGGACTGTTTTGCAGATTTCTCATACGGGTTAATTACCCTGTAAGCTTTAGGTACTGGGTTTTTCTGTTACGGGTATTGTGTAGCTATAAGTCATTGAAACTGTGCTTTCAAATTTTCAAATACGGGTAAGGTTGAGATATGTTTTGAAAGAATTGTTTTTTTCTGTTTTTTAATCTTGATGTGTTACAGACATTTATCATAGATACTGTTTTTTGAAGTTTTCTAATACGGGTATGATACAGATTTTTCATAAACTGTTAACACAGAGAAATATCTCGCCTTTTTGTAATTTTGATAATGCAAATGTTGAAACTAGTATAGCATTTAACATTTAAGTTATGCCAATATTCAAAGTCAATGAACCATGACTGAAGGTACATGGCTAAACAATCTCCATAGAAATGAGATGTGCCAATGCTAATACAACCGCATACCAAATACCATTGACTTATTATAAGTCGTTCCCTTGAAACAAACCTAGACACGAACATTAACTTGTTAACTATGTGAAAGTTTCAAAGTCAATGAACCATGATGATGGCATGGGGCTATATAATCTCCATGGGAACAAGACTTGCAAGTGCCAATAAATTTGCATACGAAGTATTATTGACTTAACAGTAGCAGTTCATCTTTAACAGATCTAATCAATAATACATGTAAACTAAGCAAAATTTCAGTCAATAGACCATGCCTGAGGGGGTAGGGTCAAATATTCTCATTTGAAATGAGATGTGCATATGCTTATACAACTGCATACCAATAAACATTGGCCTACTAATGGTTCCCCTTGAACTGACCTAATCACAAACTAATACATGTAAACTTAGCAAAATTCTATGACTGAGGGGGCAGGGCCAAATCATTTTCATGGAAATGAGATGTGCTAATGTTCATACAGCTGCATACCAAATATCATTGACCTACTACTAGTGGTTCACCATAAACTAGACCTAATTACAAACTAATACATTGTTTAAGCCGCCGCTGACGCAAGAAACAGCATACCTATGTCTTGCTTATTGACTCCGTCAAGGCGAGACAAAAAAGGGCTTTCTTTTTAGATAAAGAAAATAAGAAATATAACAACAACTAAATTGATGAAAATGCTATAAGAAAGTCAACTTTGCTGTCATTTTTATGAATTCCAACTGGAGAACGTCAACTTGGCCACTCTATAAAGAGAAATATAGTTAACAAAGAGAGAAATGTCTGCTGCTGATAATGATGGTCTCTTTTTACATCGTTGAAGCTATTTATTTAGCAGTAAAAGTTCTATTTTTATAAAAAGGATCGAGAAGTAGGGTAAAATTGTCACTGTACTTTAAATTTAATAAATGTGAGCTTTCTACCAAACCTACTTAAAAAAACATCCGGTTACTGAAAATTAAAAATTTCGAATAGCTTAAGATTAAGATGGAATATAAAAAATAACATATATAAAAAGGGAGATATTAAAACTAAGAATCTAGAAAACTAACTTTAGTGATTGTTTTTAAGCCGAACTGTACATTTGTTGCTGTCCTTGTTTCATATAATAATGCAGACGCTATTTTACAAACTTGCAACCAATCATGTGTACAAATCGGTGTAGAGATGAGGCATGGAAGTTGTAAAGCATAAAAAGTGATACGGTAGCATTGAAGGAAACAGTTCAATGGTTTTAGATACAGCCAGTTGTACAGGATTCCAAACGTATTCTTCCCCAAAAATGCATCTAAAAAAGTCTATTCTTGTAGTTCCTCAGTATATAACCAGGGACAAATAGATGAAGAGACTTGAATGGCAGAGCACAATTTAGATTTCCATAAGTTTTTATTCTTCTAAAGAATTGTGTATGCAATTTCTCTTTATATTTCAATTTTAGAAGGTAAAATGATTATTTACATCTTTTTTCTTAACATTTGCTATTGATGATGTTGATATCAATGAAGACAAGAATTTTCAATGGATTTTTATTAATTTTTTTCAGAAAGAGTCATTAAAAATGCACCGTTTTAAACAACAATAAAAAATGATTCACTTATTTTTATCAAAATGGGTGTTCATTCCTCATTGCAAAAATGACACTTTTATTGTATTTAAAAGATCTATATCATGACAATTACCAATCATACTGGTATTGTATCAGTACTCATACTTAATAAGAGCTTAAATGTCTTGCCTGTTAACTGACCATTGATTTTATTTTGAAAGTCTCAAATATAAAGGTTTTACTACATTTATCACATAACCTTAACATTACTACATTTATCACATAACTTAACATTTTTAAAGATCCATGACAATGAGGTCAAGCTCAGATAAATCCTGCTAGACAGACATGTACACCATACAATTATTCCATACACCAAATATAGTTGACCGTTGATTGTGGTAATTGAAAAACAGACAAAAAGGTCCAAAACACAAAAACTTAACTTAAGACCAATGAACCATGAAAATGAGGTCACGGTCAGATAAAACCTGCAAAACTGACATGTACCCCATACAATACACCAGATATAGTTGACCTGGTGCTTATAGAATCTGAGAAACTGACCTAATCACCTTGATCACTGGATCCATAAAATGAGGTCAAGGTCAGGGAACTCTGTCTGACGGACATGTAGACATTCCAAGGAAGCCATATACCAAATATAGTTATCCTATTACTCATAATAAGTGAGAAATTCACATGACAACAAAAAATATAATCTTTTTAAAGCAGTTGCTGAACCATGAAAATTAGGTCAGACAATGGACATATGACAGACAGAAACTCTGAAACATACAGTATCTGCATACTATATATATCTTCTGAAATATAAGGCTTTATACAAAAGGTTTAGGCCGCCGCCGGATAGTAAACCCTATGATTAGGTTGATGCCTTAGGAAACAATAGGAAGTATATCCCTACAGGAGGATGCACTAAACATCCAGATGGTATCAGACTGATAAGAGACACTTTCTCGGGTTTTACCTTTTATTGTTATAATTTTACTTTAAACATATGTAATTCTAATAATGAAAGATGAAAAATAAAATGAACTTTACATGTAAATATAATACAACATTAAAACTCTTGATGACAATGAAATAATTTACAAAGACAATATGAAAATTTACAACATTTTCTTCACAGAAGGTAAAACTAACCTTGCGTATGTACATATGTGAGATAATGAACAGTATGAAACAAGAGGACTTTATGAGAACTACAATCAAAATGAATGAATCTTTCTAAAAATTACAGAGTTCAAATATTAAACAATGACTGCAGAAAATAATTCCAGATAAAAACTTGTATGATTCAATTGGTTGCTTTAAATTGTTTGTTTTCATCAAAATTTATCTCATAGTAGTTACAATGGTAGAAGACCAATAGTACAATGAATCAGGTATATGAAGGTGTTCACAAGATCCTTAAAGCACATTTCACATAACATTTTCCAAAAAAATTCCAATTGCTGTTATCTCTGTTAACCACAAATTACACTTATTGATGGAATACACAAAAACTATTTTCATAATTCTTTGCTAGAAATTTTTACTCATAATTACTGAAAACATTCTGATCCTTGATAAAAATTTAAAAACAACTGGACCATAAATTCATCGACAGTAGTTTTCCTCCAATACATAGTCATCTGTAACAGATTAAGGGCAGTGATAGGCATAAACATTCTTTTCTATGTTTGAAAATTTTATTTCAGCCATGTGTTGTGTCATCTTCTACAAAGTCCTCAGCTTCTTCACGACTAACACATTCAACATGACTAACCTACAAAAAAAGTAATAAATTCTTTTTAATTTACAAATAATTTAATATATTACAGCTTTAAAATATGATTTTAAAACCTTTTTTTATAAATGTACAAAATTTTAATCATTTTTTAATATAATCAAAAAACTTTTGTGAGCAAGCTCACATACCCCCACAGTGTCACTTGGCAAACAAAATTTCAGCAGATTGCTAAGTTCAGACTCCTACAAAAATCAACTGAAAAAACCTCTTGTGGATATCTACATTCTTTGTCCTTATTAACTACAAAGTTTCATTCTGTTGTGTTGTTTCAGAGAAGTTGCACTGACAAAATGTTGAAGTAGTATAAATAGGTCAAAATTCTATGTTCAAAGGGGCATAAATCCTAGAAAAAAATTGAATCATAATTTCCTGTCAATGTGCAACATCAGTGTTGACAGGCTAGCAGTTCGACTACTTAAACCACTCAGCCACCGATGCCCCTCATCATAGGTATATTAAATGGATCAACCTAAGAAAAATCACCTTATCTATGTGACTTTCCAATATTTTCTTAATCAGTATACATGTACATACTTTGTTCCTAAATTTGACACCATAGAATTTATCTGCATGCTCTAATAATTCTGGTCTGAATGTTGTAGTGATGAACTGGGCATCCTCTGATAACTCATTTATCATATCTAAAACCAAAAGTATAACTCATTTATCATATCTAAAACCAAGACTATAAGTTTAAGTATCATTCTGTGTGGAGATGGACAATTCAAATTCATATGTCGCAATATCAATTTATAAAGCACTTTCAATATCAGATTTCTTAAAAATAAACTATTGACACAGAGATATGTCTGGCATGTATTTTATTCTGATATTAAAATGTTTATGTAGAAATTATAACGGCATACTTTAACATGAAAACTATTCAATACATTCAAAGATCAGACCACGACTGAGAGGGCAGGGCCAAAAAATCTCCATTGAAATGAGATGTGCCAAAGCCAATACAAATGCAGGCAAAACATTATTGACATACCATAAGTGGATTCCCTTTAAACTGACATAAAAAGTTGTTAATTCTGCAGGCAACAGGACACCTAAGTCTTGCCTTTGTGACTATGTCCAGGCCAGACAAAAAAAACACATTACTGTAAATTCCAAATAAATATAGCTCATGCAATGTCTGTCTTTTTTTCAAGAATGATCACATTTCCAGTGCATCTCTATTTACAAAAATTACTTTTATCTCCTATTTTATGCATAGAAAATTCATTTTCAAAACAAACAAAATTGAGTGTAGTGGTAATTTTTTTTTTAAATTAAATTTTTTGTTGATTCCGAGCAATGGGGTAATTATCTTTTTTTTTCAAAATTTAAAAATATCCAGTAACTAGAGGCTCTAAAGAGCCTGTGTCGCTCACCTTGGTCTATGTGAATATTAAACAAAGGACGCAGATGGATTCATGACAAAATTGTGTTTTGGTGATGGTGATGTGTTTGTACATCTTAATTTACTGAACATTTTTCCTGCTTACAATTATCTCTATCTATAATTAACTTGGCCCAGTAGTTTCAGAGGAGAAGATTTTTGTAAAAGATTACTAAGATTTACGAAAAAATGGTTAAAATCGACTATAAAGGGCAATAACTCCTAAAGGGGTCAACTGACAATTTCGGTCATGTTGACTTATTTGTAGATCTTACTTTGCCAACATTTATCGTTTTTTACAGTTTATCTCTATCTATAATAATATTCAAGATAATAACCAAAAACAGCAAAACTACCTTAAAATTACCAATTCAGGGGCAGCAACCCAACAACGGGTTGTCCGATTCATCTGAAAATTTCAGGGCAGATAGATCTTGACCTGATAAACAATTTTACTTCATGTCAGATTTGCTTTAAATGCTTTGGTTTTTGAGTTAAAAGCCAAAAACTGAATTTTACCCCTATGTTCTATTTTTAGCCGTGGCGGCCATCTTGGTTGGTTGACCAGGTCACGCCACACATTTTCAAAACTAAATAACCAAATGATGATTGTGGCCAAGTTTGGTTTAATTTGGCCCAGTTGTTTCAGAGGAGAAGATTTTTGTAAAAGATTACTAAGATTTACGAAAAATGGTTAAAAATTGACTATAAAGGGCAATTACTCCTAAAGGGGTCAACTGACCATTTCGGTTATATTGACTTATTTGTAAATCTTACTTTGCTGAACATTATTGCTGTTTACAGTTTATCTCTATCTATAATAATATTCAAGATAATAACCAAAAACAGCAAAATTTCCTTAAAATTACCAATTCAGGGGCAGCAACCCAACAACGGGTTGTCCGATTCATCTGAAAATTTCAGGGCAGATAGATCTTGACCTGATGAACAATTTTACCCCATGTCAGATTTGCTTTAAATGCTTTGGTTTTTGAGTTAAAAGCCAAAAACTGAATTTTACCCCTATGTTCTATTTTTAGCCGTGGCGGCCATCTTGGTTGGTTGACCAGGTCACGCCACACATTTTTAAAACTAGATAACCAAATGATGATTGTTGCCAAGTTTGGTTTAATTTGGCCACGTAGTTTCAGAGGAGAAGATTTTTGTAAAAGATTACTAAGATTTACGAAAAATTGTTAAAAATTGACTATAAAGGGCAATAACTCCTAAAGGGGTCAACTGACCATTTCAGTCATGTTGACTTATTTGTTAATCTTACTTTGCTGAACATTATTGCTGTTTACAGTTTATCTCTATCTATAATAATATTCAAGATAATAACCAAAAACAGCAAAATTTCCTTAAAATTACCAATTCAGGGGCAGCAAACCAACAACAGGTTGTTCGATTCATCTGAAAATTTCAGGGCAGATAGATCTTGACCTGATAAACAATTTTACTTCATGTCAGATTTGCTCTAAATGCTTTGGTTTTTGAGTTATAAGCCAAAAACTGCATTTTACCCCTATGTTTTATTTTTAGCTGTGGCGGCCATCTTGGTTGGTTGGCCGGGTCACGCCACACATTTTTTAAACTAGATACCCCAATGATGATTGTGGCCAAGTTTGGTTTAATTTGGCCCAGTTGTTTCAGAGGAGAAGATTTTTGTAAAAGATTACTAAGATTTACGAAAAATGGTTAAAAATTGACTATAAAGGGCAATTTCTCCTAAAGGGGTCAACTGACCATTTCGGTTATATTGACTTATTTGTAAATCTTACTTTGCTGAACATTATTGCTGTTTACAGTTTATCTCTATCTATAATAATATTCAAGATAATAACCAAAAACAGCAAAATTTCCTTAAAATTACCAATTCAGGGGCAGCAACCCAATAACGGGTTGTCCGATTCATCTGAAAATTTCAGGGCAGATAGATCTTGACCTGATGAACAATTTTACCCCATGTCAGATTTGCTCTAAATGCTTTGGTTTTTGAGTTATAAGCTAAAAACTGCATTTTACCCCTATGTTCTATTTGTAGCCGTGGCGGCCATCTTGGTTGGTTGACAGGGTCACGCCACACATTTTTAAAACTAGATACCCCAATGATGATTGTGGCCAAGTTTGGTTAAATTTGGCCCAGTAGTTTCAGAGGAGAAGATTTTTGTAAAAGTTTACGGACGACGGACGACGGACGACGGACGACGGACGCAGGACGACGGACGACGGACGCAAAGTGATGAGAAAAGCTCACTTGACCTTTCAGGTCAGGTGAGCTAAAAATGATAATAAAAATCCCTCGAAAGTTCATCTTTGATTTTTTTTTTAAATCATTTCAGGGTATTGTTTATAGTAAATATTTAAGAAAAGTGTTGGAATAATAGCTGTTCAAACTAGCTAATATATTTTATCTCTAAAACCCAGGATTTTAACATTTTTCCAGTATAGAAACAACCTAAGCTATTGATACATAAAGGAGTTTAAACAAGTTCATTCCAAATACATAGCATGGTCATATTTATCAATGTCTAGCCATAAATACAATTATGGTTTTACACAAAACCATCATAGAAAGCATTTTATTTTCACACTGTATACATGTACATTAACATTTGTGTCTACTTTTGGCTCAACCTACATGTATATCAGGTATCAAAGGCATCTGAAGTAAACTTATTAAGAAATGACTTTAATATTTTTTCTGTCTATGAAGAAATAACATAAAAAATATGCATTTTTTATGTTATTTCGAATAGAAAGAAAAAATATTAAAGTCATTTCTTATAATTTAATTCTAAAAAGGAGTAAATCATGAAAAAAACGTTGATGACGTCGCAGTCATATGACAAAATCATGTCTATGAGCTGATAGACAAAACACTTTCAGCCATTCAGAAGAAGTGTTACATCCAAAATTAAATTATAAGGGAATAACTAATTGTTCACATGAAGAAACAGCAATGTTTTTACTGTTATGAAGTCTATATACTATTCCTCAGACTAAAATCCTAATATTCTACTGCCAACGGCCTTACCAGCAACCGCTTTCCTATGGATAGAATCTAAAGCTTGGTCAATCTCATCAAACAGATAGAAAGGAGCAGGATCACACTTCTGAATGGCAAATATAAGTGTTAGCGCAACGAGAGATTTCTGTCCACCAGATAACTGCTGCATGTCTCTCATTTCTGCCTTGTTTCCAGAGAAGGACACTTTAATACCCACTCCTGTGAACTGCTCAACTAAAGGTACTTCCTGTGATGATCCTTCTTCATCTTCTCCCTAAAATTAGGTCCTATAACTTCAATATCAGGTTAAAGACAACAATACATTGATTATATGGCATTATACAAGATTCTTTGAGCAGTAATCAGAAAATGCATCTACAGTAAAACAAGAGGAACTGGCAGAAAAATATTGCCTGCATTATCAACTATGACTTGAATTATACTTTGAAAGTTTATGAGATCAAAGTAAACTAAATTTGTTCAACTTAAAAGTTTATTGCAGTCATTAAACAATAGGTATGATGTCTCACTAAAAAAGTAATCTAAAAACTATTCTGACCATTTCAATTAAATACTTTCTTTTTCTTACATTTTGATCCATATCCCCTTTCTTCATCACCAATACAGCATGACCCTGAGGAGCTAACTTCTTAAAGATTTCACTAAAATACTTGGATACCTATAATATAAATGTATTAATTATTTATACTTTTCCAATTAAAATACTGAATAAAAAACAAGATGTGGAATCACAAAGTGCCTGTGGAAGATTTCATTCATTTTCCAGTGGGAAATCTTGACCCCCAAATATGTAATATTACTCACTATAAAAGGGAAATATTAACTGCCTACAAAACAAACCCTTATTCATAATAATCTATTTTTTTAAATAACTCTCCAATAAGGGTCAACTGACAATTACTTCCAAATGGACTTATTTATAGTAAAACTTGTCTTTCTGGTCAGTTTTTCTATAAACAGTTTCCCTATATCTTCTATATTCTCCACAAAAAACACAATAATGGGTTAAAAGAGTCTTTCTATGGCATTTACTCCTATGAGGTCTCCACCATCTCGACTTTTAGGGGATCTTTTGTGTCCTGCTAATTTTTTCGCCATTACAAATTTCCTTTACCTATTATAATTTTAAAGATAATAGCATAAATTGCAAATAACAGGTAAAAATTGTAATTTATGTGCAATAACTCCTATAATGAGTCCGTTTTGTCAAAATAGATGGCAAGTTGATCTTGAAATTCTGAACATTTTTGCCCCCATCAGATTTTCTCTTACAAGATAATACACAATATTTGCATTTTACCCCTTCGTTCTATTTTCAGCTTTTGCAGCCATGTTGGAAGGCAGAGAGGAACATTTGACATATTTTTTAAATGAGTTACCCCATCAATGAGTATGGCCAAATTTGTTTCTATTTGACACAGGAGATTCAGAGAAGAGTTTTGCTAAAACGACTATGACGATGGATGCCAAGTGATAGAAAATGCTCACACTAGCCCTTTGGTCCAGGTGAGCTATTAATGTAAACAATAAATAAGTATAAACAAATCCACAACTTTGCTGAACCTATTCATAGGTAGCATTATATCATCTTTAATTTAGTTTATATAGATCTATTCATATAACTACAAAAATAAGTTATCCTTGAAATTTACAAAATTATATACAATTCTCCTTAGAGTTGACGATAACAGTACATTCAATACTAATAATGAGTCCACACTTTGAATTGGGTTTCAAACATCATTACCAAATATCATACTGCTGCCAATGACAACTTCTAAAATATATAATTTGTGTTCAAGCTAGTCGCATCTCATGACACCTGGCAAGAAACATGAACTCAAATTTCATAAAAATTTGAGAGTGAAGAAAATGCAACTGTTGATGGGAGAAATGAATGAAGTATTTACCTGTTTAAATGTTAACTGGATTGCTTCATACTTTCGGTGATCCAGAGCATTCATCAAATCTAAAATGGACTGAAACATAACAAATTATTAGTAAGATTCATTCTCACTATGTTTATTATAGAAATTACCCTAGCTTGTGAGTCCATATAGTGAATGTTAATATCAGTTAAAAGAGGCAGACGTTCAAATCTCATAAGTCAAAGAGAAACTAACAATTCAATGGAAAAACCAAAAACGACTAAAAGATAAGTAAAAAAAACAGTTCATAGAAAACTAAAGACCAAGCCCAAGCATCACAAACCACACCAAAACAAACATGGAATTACCTCAGGTGCTCCTGAAGGGTAAGCATATCTTGCTCCACAAGTGGCACACTTCGTTTTGCTTATTGTAAGAACAAGTTAGGTGATGTCACAATCAAGGAAAAGAGGAAAGGGTTGTGTTATATCAACTGGAACATATCTTGGGTCATCGATGACATAGATATTCCATAAAGGTCAACCAACCAACTTGTGGTGAGGTCTGTAAAACTCTCATGGGTATGTTTTTAACTTAACCCCTTGGAACCCTTAGTGCAAACGCTTCTGTGTAGGTAGCAACCCTTTATCAAGGAAATCATGAAAAGAAATGCAAGCTGTGGAATATTAACTGTAAGTACTATCTACCAAATTTTAAGTAAGGCCCTTATTGTACCTTGTTCTTTTAATTCTTCACTATTTTGAGCAAAAATCATTTCTTTTTTTCTTTCAACATAACTTTATTGAAACCTAACAAATGCAATTTTAAATCTCACAACTTTTTCAAAACCTGTTATTAAATGATATGTTTTTTCCCCAACTGAAAATAGACTGTTAACATCCCACCTGACCACTGATGAAGTTCAAATATTAAAGACTGTCTTTTAGAATGACAAAAACCCATTTTAAAAAAACATGTACAGTACATTCCAGTTATTTGCATAGCCTATTTGTCAGACAAAATTATGCAATAAAGCGGAGCATGCTTATATCCGAAATGCCAAATTACGGAGTCAAATAACATCGATAGAACAGATCAGTAAAAGGAAATCCCTGAAGAAAGATGAACGTCTATAATCTTCTTACAACATATTGAATGTTGATTTATTCTAATAAAAGTTATATGTCTAGTGTCATACATGTTATTTTATTTTGTATTATTTCAATAAAGATTATAAACACATTTTGTTTTAGTTTATTTGCATACCGACGTTTCCTTTTCCAGTTTACCTGGGATACAAAAATAAATTCGTTCTAAAAATAGATTTGTTTCTATGACCCGTATGTACAATGTACATTGTTACGCTTTGATTAAAATAAACTGTTTAACAAAATTACACAGTTTATAATCATTTTAACAATAGATATGTACTAAACTGCCTTTGATATACAATATTTACAGCTTGCAGAGTGAAGTAACACTGTTTATTTAACTTCGTTAGTTTCGTATATGCAAAGCAGTAAATGGGGGCCTGTACGGGTTATTTGCTGGACACGAGTATTGAAAGTGAGAAAATATAATAATTAGAAGTAAATGCTCTTTTCAAAATATATTAAAATTAAATGATTGATGTATAAAATTCTTTAACCATATATAAATGTCCTGTAATATTTAACATAAATGCAGATCACCCCAAGCCCAATTAGGAGAGTTCACATTGGATAATATTCGATAATTAGCAGGCGTTATTGTTTTTGAATTTCACCCCAAATGTAATCTATGGACAATGTTTGAAATCCAATCAATTATTTACACCTTTTTAGATAGAATGGTCAGTATTTTTACAACAATTACCTGTTTGACATTTTTATGACCTCGAAGGCTTAAAATAGAACATGGGAAACTTTACCTGTGTAGATATCGAGGTTTATTTTTAAATCAAATTCAATCATATAAACACGAAAGAAACTGTTTTAAAACTTTATTTGAATAACACAAAAGTAAATATGAAATAATAATGAACATAATGATGCATTCAAGAAAAATATACTCACCAACTTGCCGTTTCCGGTCAAAAATTTGAACGGTTTAAGCAAGCATATCTTGATGGCGATAATTTTCTATGCAATAAACCGAAAGGCCACTTGTAGAGCTATGCATATAACCGGACAATTTAACATTAGATGAATGGGAAATGGTTTTGTGCAGGAGAAAACTATGCAATTAACCGAATTATGCTATTAAGCGGTATGCAATTAAGTGGAGTCGACTGTATTGAGATAATGGAATATAACCATCATCTTTTTGTGTACTTTAAAGCAATATCTGTGTGTTTTCTCAACATACGTGGAATTAACAAGCACAATGATTTACCTTATGTGCACTATCTAATTCCTCTTTTCTTTTGATCAGTTTTTCTTTTTGATCAGAGAAGTTAACAAACTGATCTAAAGCTTTCTTGTTCACATGACTGTATTTCTTTAATTCTGTATTGCACTGTTCTAATTTCTTAAACAACTGAAATCAAAGTAAAATTTGATACAACTAATATACTTGATATTGTATTGGTTTAAAATGGAAAATGTTGGTTAAATGTTAGAAAAGTAAATGAAGAAATTATTACAAATTATGTAATTAAACCAAATCAACAAGTGGAGCTGTCAGCTTCTGATCACTAATAAAGTCCTCTGCTATATGTATTCGGTCAAAAGGAAGTTGATAAGCTTTGGATGTGAAAACACATCACACAGTAAATCATGGTCACATGAATTTTGATACCAAATTTCTGGACTCAGTGATTCATCATATTCAGTGATTCATCATTAATACATGGCTGTTATGTATAAGAATTGGTAGTCTCTGAGAAAAATGTGACAAAATTTTAAATATGGATGCTGTGTGTAAAAAAATATAAAAGTATTTGGTAAACAGGAAGCTGATGAGTGAGCAGGGGTATGAAAAGCATAATTTTTTTTTGCAATTAGATCCCTTTGAAAAAAGCATTTATTGATTAATGAGGGTACAATGTATATGTTTCAATATGACAATAACAACAAACTGTTGCCTTAAATGTTATCACTTTTGTTTATTACCTAACAAGCATTTGAGAGTTAAATATTTTAACAAATTATAAATAGATGGATAAACACAATTTTTTAATGTTTCAAATGGATCATAATGATGTTCAGCAGTTTCCATTTAGAATATTAGTAGATACTTATTGTTTACCTGTTTTGAACTCAGATTCTGGTATTTTTCAAAAGCATCACTTGGCAGAGATCCTAATTCTCGAATCTTTTTCATACACTCATCTTTCTGTAAACAAAAATTAAATCTCTATTAAATTGTATACAAAATAAAATGAAATACTCAAAAATGTGAAGCTCTAAAATATGGAACCAGTAATTCGGACCCAGTAACAAAGAACATACAAGAAAGTAGTACATATTTTAAACAAAAATAGTTCCTACGCATAGCTATAACTTTGTCAAAAAGAAAAACATTTGGTTTATTTTGGTATCAAATGAAAGCTTAAGGACTTGGGATAACTGTTGAACCCTTCTTGAAATTTTCTCTTGGCAAATAAAATAAATATGTGATATTATGATAGGAGGGCATATTTGCTCTGTTGCTAAGATTAGAAGTACCTGTTTTTGTACTACCCAACTTCTATGAACCAGTGCACTCTAATATGCAATTAAAGGTATATTGAATTTTTCAGCACAAGTCAGGCTAAGAAATAGTTTTAATATGAAATGACTGCCACTTTATTTTAACTTAAGACAAAATAGTATAAAAGCTTGAAATTGCACAATTTAATTCATAATAGTAGTTGTTCTTAACAATAACATATGCATCTTCAGCAAAATACAGTAATTAATACATCACCAAAATAATAGCCATCATGAATTTACTCGACCTTCACATATCATATCAAATTGATAGATTGATTGATGTTTGCTTTATGCACAATAAAAATGAGTATGGTGTACATGTATGATTACCAATATGACAGCCATTAATGAGACCAAATGATGAAGTTGTAAGTATAGGTCACTACAGAGTGTATTTGACTTTATCTATATTTGGGATATCTATTTCTAAAATAAATCTGTACATGTTTCCTTATCATACATCCTAGGAGAGGAATGTACAACTAACCAATGAAATCCTAAACCCTTTCCAAAAGTCATGGCTTATATCAAGTTTCATTTTCAATCAAGTGTTCTGGAAATTATTTTACTTAATTTCTGTCATTGATTGGTGACTTTAAAGTCAGAATCAATTTATTTTTCACACCATAAAATATATACCAGGCATCAAGACATCAACAGTTTTGTGGTTAGAACTGATGGAAATGTTGAACCTGTGTTTATAAAACTTTAACAAGATTTTGAGGAATATAACAGCTTAAAACTGCATTGATTTTAATGACTACAAATTCCAAATAGAAAATGATCAGGAAAGCAGTGACTATTAGCAATTCAACGTAGTTTCCACTACAGGTTTAGTTCTGACTAACAAATGGAAGTAATCCACATTTTATGATAAAGTGTCTAACCTGATCTTAAAAAGTAGGTGGTACTTGTACTCATGCATAATTTGCAGTTAATATCAGCTGTCAAGTTGTGAAAAGTTCTTTTTGTTATGAAATTTAATAAGAAGTTTTAGTTATATAATCTTACTATCGATACCTTTTGTTGAAACATTATTTGATTTGATTTTTGATTTTTGGTGTTTTAACGCCACTTTTAAGCACCGCTTTTGGGCTATTTGTGGCGGCCAGTTTTTATTGGTGGAGGAAGCCGGATTCCCCGGAGAAAACCACCGACCTTCGATAGGAAAACTGACAATCCTAGTCAATTAAGATTGGAGTCAAGTGCAACCGCACGAGCTGGTTTCGAACTCACAACCTCAGTGTTGACTGGCTAGTGATTACAGTAGTAACTATTTAGACCACTTGGACACCGAGGCCCCAAATATTATTTGATAATAAAATAAATAAATGTTCTGTTCTTTGTCAATATTTCCGCTGCTGTCAGGTGTTACACAGGTAAAAAGGCATTAACCTTATATCCCCACTGGCATTATACAATTACTTGTATAGAGCCCTGAAGATTAACATACAATACAGAGTGGCAGTTTTATTAACGGAAAAGAATGGTCATAAAAAGTATCATAGCTAATAACCAAAAAATTTAATTTCTAACAAAATAGCGTCTATAACTTTGTCCAAACCTAATAAATTTTCAAATCATTTATTTTCTGGACCTAAATCTTTTATATTTTGGGTCTTTAAGAATCAGTAATGACTGGAAAATATTACTCTTTCCAGACCCTTATTTTCAATGTAATACTTAAGTAAAATTAATGTAGTTATCTCCCCTGAAAATTTTAGGTATGTGATTCTATCCTTCCATTATTAAAGTTTGATAATGATTTCAGTTGATATGAAAACAAATTTGTAAAATAACCTCCATCAGGTATGCCTGAGCTCAAGGGAAGTTTTATACATCAAAATCAAAGGAGAATGGGTCTAAGCAAAACAGCCATATTGACATAGACCATGCAAAATAATCATTCAATATGTACCCTAAATTCAGTTTGTCTTTTCTGAAGTACATTTTTACATTAATATTCTTACATACAAGTTATATTCTAACAAATAAACTCTACCTTTTTTAACAATAGACTCTGTTTATTTGTCATTTTATCCAGTTCTTTAGCATCATCACTAATCTTGTCTTGAAATTCTTTTTCTTGAGCCTGGAATATATATATTACTTAATAAGTTATTCTTGAGCCTGGAATATATGTATTACTTTAATACTTAGGTTATTCAATATTTTCATATAAAGAGTCAGTAAGTAACAAATGCTGAAAAAATATCATGACCAAATGAAATGGTTATTCATATTAATTACACCTTATTGAATCGTGGATTGTAATTGGTTGATAGCTAGTGTATTTGTCATGCTTCTTCTTTATCATATGATTTTCTTCCATATTTCACTACCACCATGGCATATGCCAAAGGACATACCTTTTTTACTCTCCACCTAATAGTATTATTGTTCAAACACTAGTTCATTGTTGAAGACTGCATTTATTCTTTTGTTTTTTTTGTGACTTTTGGTTGTTATTCATTGAAGTATCACATGAAAGTGTTGTGACTTTTGGTTGTTATTCATTGAAGTATCACATGAAAGTGTTGTGACTTTTGGTTGTTATTCATTGAAGTATCACATGAAAGCATTGTGACTTTTGGTTGTTATTCATTGAAGTATCACATGAAAGCATTGTGACTTTTGGTTGTTATTCATTGAAGTGTTATTCATTGAAGTAACACATGAAAGCATTGTGACTTTTGGTTGTTATTCATTGAAGTGTTATTCATTGAAGTAACACATGAAAGCATTGTGACTTTTGGTTGTTATTCATTGAAGTATCACATGAAAGTGTTGTGACTTTTGGTTGTTATTCATTGAAGTATCACATGAAAGTGTTGTGACTTTTGGTTGTTATTCATTGAAGTATCACATGAAAGTGTTGTGACTTTTGAAACTACACTAAAGAATTGAATGCTGCGGCTCTTTTCACATAAATTCTTAAGAGTAAATTTTAGTCTAACTTACGATCAATTTTAATCGTAAGATTTTTTGTGAAAAGAGTCGGTGGTTTTTATTATTTATATGAAATGAAAGCAAGTGACCATCACAATTAGCATAATGAGAGGAAGGAGATTTTCAAAATAAAAAATATATGTCATTCACATTTTGAATCTGAAAGTATAACATTTAAACACAAAACTTATGCACAAAGTGAAATGAAAGCATTCTTATTCCATGTGAAAAAATTATAATACGACATATAGCTGAAATTGTCGATTTCAAAGTAGACAGCTCATAAAATATTAAGTAAATTTCTATCATTTACTTTTTTTTCTAAATCATAATTGTTTGCACGAAGTACATGAACAATGCTAAAAAATAGTGTAGTTTAATTAGTTAGATGGAACAAATAATTCTATGATCTTTGGTTGCATCCATACTATTTTGAATTCTTTCATATGATATGGGTTGTTTTCATATGAAATGAAAGTATATATGATAGAATCAAATGATGAATTTTCTTTGTAAAACAAGTGTTATAAATTTTCTAACTATCAGCAAACAGGAAGTGGCCAAATGGTGGATGTAAAAATTGCTCACTTCTACTACTCAACACTATCAGATAAGCTACAGACCAAATATAAAATCATTCCCTTTAATAGGAGCCATGAAAAGTTGGATGAAAATTTTCCTTGTACAAGGAGACCAAATATTAAATCATTTCCTTTCATAGAAGCCAAGAAAACTTTGATGAAAGTTTCCTTCCCCAAGGTCTTTTGGATGGACGGACAGAGGGAAAGAAGGATCAAGCATTTACCTTTGGCAACGCAGGTAAAAATAGCACACTTTTTTGCAGCTTTTTAATGATGGTGGATCAATGGATGGGAATATTTAATGATGGCAGAAGATATTTTAACAATGGTGTTGCACCATCATCAATAAGATCATAGTCACCTGATGCTTTGTTAAACAAATATTGTTTTCACAGCTCTTTGGTAATGAAATATATCACATACAAATCTTCTTTTACCTATTCTAGAACAATCTATAAAGATAAGATACATTCTAAAATTTGTCTACTGAATGTTTCAGCTGTTAGAGATAAAATCAGATCATACCTTCCAATGTTCCATATTGTTCTGTAAAGATTTCTGCTCTTTGTTCATTTTCTCTAATTGTCCATCTAATTCTACAAAGCAAATACGTCAGTTCTATTCAATAATACATATATCAAAACTCTTCATATGAAATTGGAGTAAACCTAAGAATAAGGTCATCTCTATAAACAAAAAGTAATATTGAATTTCAACATCAAAATTTTTTTTAATATCTTGTGTCAAAACTATTCCAGAAAAGAAACTGTTTTAAGAAGAAGCCTATCTTTTGTTTTAGAAGAAGCCTACTTTTTGTATGAGACTACATGTAAATATGCTAGGCAGAATATCAACTGTTTTTAGGGAAGCCTACCTTTTGTATGAGATTTGATTTCCTGTACTCGATCATCAACTGTTTGTAATTCCTGATTGAGAGATTCTAGTTTATTCTTTCTATCTTCCACAGATACTTCCTGTAGATCATTGGTTAGTCTATCTCTCTTCTTCATTAAGTTATTGTGTAGTAAGTTCTCTAATTTGTTTTTGTCACCTTCAAGCTACAATAAAGCAAAGTTAAATATTTGAGTTACTGTGTAGTATGTTCTCTAATTTATTTTTGTCAACTTCAAGCTACAAAAAACTAGAGGCTCTAAAGAGCCTGTGTCGCTCACCTTGGTCTATGTGCATATTAAACAAAGGACACAGATGGATTCATGACAAAATTGTGTTTTGGTGATGGTGATGTGTTTGTAGATCTTACTTTACTGAACATTCTTGCTCCTTACTATTATCTCTATCTATAATGAACTTGGCCCGGTAGTTACAGTGGAAAATACTTTGTAAAAATTTACAAAAATTTACAAAATTTATAAAAAATTGACTATAAAGGGCAATAACTCCTTAAGGGGTCAATTGACATTTTTGGTCATGTTACCTTATTTGTAGATCTAACTTTGATGTACATTATTGCTGTTTACAGTTTATCTCTATCTATAATAATATTCAAGATAATAACCAAAAGCTGCAAAATTTTCTTAAAATTACCAATTCAGGGGCAGCAACCCAACAACGTGTTGCCTGATTGATCTGAAAATTTCAGGGCAGATAGATCTTGACCTAATGAACAATTTTATCCTCATCAGATTTGCTCTAAATGCTTTGGTTTCAGAGATATGAGCCAAAAACTGCATTTTACCCTATGTACTATTTTTTAGCCATGTCGGCCATCTTGGTTCAAGGGCGGGGTCATCGGACACATTTTTTTAAACTAGATACCCTAATGATGATTGTGGACAAGTTTGGTTAAATTTGTCTTAGTAGTTTCAGAGGAGAAGATTTTTGTAAAAAATTACAAAAATTTACGAAAAATGGTTAAAAATTGACTATAAAGGGCAATAACTCCTTAAGGGGTCAACTGACCATTTTGGTCATGTTGACTTATTTGTAGATCTTACTTTGCTGAACATTATTGCTGTTTACAGTTTATCTCTATCTATAATAATATTCAAGATAATAACCAAAAACGGCAAAATTTCCTTAAAATTACCAATTCAGGGGCAGCAACCCAACAACGTGTTGCCTGATTGATCTGAAAATTTCAGGGCAGATAGATCTTGACCTAATGAACAATTTTATCCTCATCAGATTTGCTCTAAATGCTTTGGTTTCAGAGATATGAGCCAAAAACTGCATTTTACCCTATGTACTATTTTTTAGCCATGTCGGCCATCTTGGTTCAAGGGCGGGGTAATCGGACACATTTTTTAAACTAGATACCCTAATGATGATTGTGGACAAGTTTGGTTACATTTGTCTTAGTAGTTTCAGGAGAAGATTTTTGTAAAAAATTACAAAAATTTACGAAAAATGGTTAAAAATTGACTATAAAGGGCAATAACTCCTTAAGGGGTCAACTGACCATTTTGGTCAAGTTGACTTATTTGTAGATCTTACTTTGCTGAACATTATTGCTGTTTAGAGTTTATCTCTATCCATAATAATATTCAAGATAATAACCAAAAACGGCAAAATTTCCTTAAAATTACCAATTCAGGGGCAGCAACCCAACAACGGGTTGTCCGATTCATCTGAAAATTTCAGGGCAGATAGATCTTGTCCTGATAAACAATTTTACCCCATGTCAGATTTGCTCTAAATGCTTTGGTTTCAGAGATATAAGCCAAAATCTACATTTTACCCCTATGTTCTATTTTTAGCCATGGCGGCCATCTTGGTTGGTTGGCTGGGTCACCGGACACATTTTCTAAACTAGATACCCCAATGATGATTGTGGCCAAGTTTGATCAAATTTGGCCCAGTAGTTTCAGAGGAGAAGATTTTTGTAAAAGTTATTGACGACGGACGACGACGACGGACGACGGACGCCAAGTGATGAGAAAAGCTCACTTGGCCCTTTGGGCCAGGTGAGCTAAAAATGAATTCAAATATTCTTTTTCTAGTCTAAAAAGTTACTTGAAACATACTAACATGATTCCATGGATGTCAATTTCAAATGATTTTCTTCTTTCTCAATGAATTTAAATTAAATGTAGACTTATATAGAACTTGTCTTTAGTTATTGAAGTTGTATATTTTATTCAAATATAAACTGTTTCAAGAAACTTGTTTTATCTAAAATATTTCTATTATCTTTCCTACCCTGATTCTTTCTGTTAACGCCTCTTTATTTTGCAGAGTCAGCTGTTTAATTGTATCATTTAATTTGTCTACTTCTCCTTGATCTTCCACACTGAGTTGTGATAATAAATCTGAACCCAATTCTTCATTCAGAGAGGCAGCTGATCCTTGCATTGCTTCTAAACTAGAGTGTAAACTGGCAACACTCTTTTCCTGTTTTATAAATAAAAACAATGTTAAATCAAAGCACTGAAGTTCTGAGAGGCAGTTTCTGTCTACTCAATGTTTTTGTAAAAGAAAGCAATGAAAAAAATGAGCTTATGTTGTATAAAGGTTTTAATATTTGTTGGTACTTTTTTCACTATTCTTTGTGAAACTATTAAAGATACTTGAAAAACCTGTTCAAACAATAATGTGAAATCTGTTTAAAGTGAATACCTGTAAAACTGAGGATTTTGTTCAGAGTAAAAAAAATCCATCTTATATTTTGATATAATCAATCAAAGTCTTATATGTGTACATGTATACGTGCACTTGCATAAGGTCCATTTCTATCCGACAAAGCTCAATATTGTTTCATACAATTGTAAGACATTTACATACCTTAGGGGACTTTTACATACCTTAGGGGACATTTACATACCTTAGGGGACTTAGACTTTTCTATAGAGTTAAGTTCTTCAGTCATCAATCGTAAATCTGCTCTCATTTTATCAAAGGTATCTCTGTAATATTTATAACATACTTGAAAATATGACTGATTTTGACTTTACCATAATGGCAATACTTATATAAGTCACAGTGGTAGCATTTTCAAATTAATGCTGAAAAGTAAAACTGATACTAAGCTTGGAATAAGCATATAACTCACTAGAGGTTGCCTGAACAGGAAAAAAACAATTCAAGTTAAATTCAACAAATCAAACTATCATATTGATGACTTTATCATTTACATTTTTTCCTAAGAGGCTTATCCAAACAAATATGATATAAAAAAATTTGTATAAGAATTTGAATCAAATATACACATAGCAATAAAGGAATGTATTCTGAATATAGATATATTCTGAACTTATAAAATTACAAACTTCACTGAAGAGGATTGCTACATATACTAGTCCTGAAAATATTCTATTGTTATAAAGTAACAAAATGAATATTAAGTAATACTTACTTATTTTTACTATTTCTTGTTTCGGTTTTCTGCATTTCACTGACTATATTGTTCATTTTGGCTTCTAATGTTTCTAACTTTGATTTATGTTCAGCATATTCTTTTTCTTGGTTTTCAAGCTTTTCTGTCAGTTCTAATTTACTTTTCTGGAGATCAAGTCTTGATCGTCGAGTATCATAAAAACCACCTGTTAAAGCACCTCTTCTACTTACTTGGTCACCTAGAAAAGATTAATAAACTTTTGTATGCTAACAGACAAAAGAGAGTTTGTTGAAGGTATGACCTTACACAGAATAAGGAAGAACTCCAACAACAATATATAATAGGTGGTGTGGCATGAGTAGATTATGGAACAATCCAATTAAAAATTGTACCCATGATAGGGTTTGCAAAATAAGCCTCCTGACCTGCCAATAGATTTATTTCTGTAATAACTTAATGAAAACTGTATCCTCCTTTATCTATATGTATATATACAACATTAATATAAGCTCCTCCTTTATCTATATGTATATATACAACATTAATATAAATTCCTCCTTTATCTATATGTATATATACAATATTAATATAAATTCCTCCTTTATCTATATGTATATATTTTATCTATATGTATATATACAATATCAATATAAATTCCTCCTTTATCTATATGTATATATACAATGTTAATATAAATTCCTCCTTTATTTATACAATGTTAATATAAATTCCTCCTTTATCTATATGTATATATACAACATTAATATAAATTCCTCCTTTATCTATATGTATATATACAATATTAATATAAATTCCTCCTTTATCTATATGTATATATTTTATCTATATGTATATATACAACATTAATATAAATTCCTCCTTTATCTAAATGTATATATTTTATCTATATGTATATATACAATATTAATATAAATTCCTCCTTTATCTATATGTATATATACAATATCAATATAAATTCCTCCTTTATCTATATGTATATATACAATATTAATATAGATTCCTCCTTTATTTATATGTATATATTTTATCTATATGTATATATACAATATTAATATAAATTCCTCCTTTATCTATATGTATATATACAATGTTAATATAAATTCCTCCTTTATTTATATGTATATATACAATATCAATATAAATTCTTCCTTTATTTATATGTATATATACAATGTTAATATAAATTCCTCTATATGTATATATACAATATTAATATAAATTCCTCCTTTATCTATATGTATATATTTTATCTATATGTATATATACAATATTAATATAAATTCCTCCTTTATCTATATGTATATATACATTATTAATATAAATTCCTCCTTTATCTATATGTATATATACAATATCAATATAAATTCCTCCTTTATCTATATGTATATATTTTATCTATATGTTTATATACAATACTAATATAAATTCCTCCTTTATCTATATGTATATATACAACATTAATATAAATTCCTCCTTTATCTATATATAGATTCTACCACTGCATCGAGTGTGATACGATATTTATCCACTCGAGACAGTTAAATTTTCAAATTTAAAACGCGAGGCTCGCCGAGCGTTTTAAATATTTAAAATTTAACTGTTGAGAGTGGATAAATATCGTATTACACGAGAGTTGGTGGTGGAATCTGTTTTTCTAATGATTTTCAAACAATACGCAGGCAAATTTATTCCTTCTTTTCGAATGATCTGCAAAAAGATGTGTTCTTTCTATGTGACGTCATCAGGCATGGTCGCCTTTTTTCATGCCGTCACAATAGGAAATTCAGAGGAAAGCAAGAAAATTCGACGTCATAATCGGATTTTAACCAATGAAGAACTGAGATCAAACGAATCACACGTTGATTAAATTTTTTTTATACAATGGGTGCAGAAAGGGATAAATTGACGAAGAATTAGAGAAATGTATATATACAACATTATACAACATTAATATAAATTCCTCCTTTATCTACATGTATATGTATATATACAACATTAATATAAATTCCTCCTTTATCTATATGTAAATATACAATATTAATATAAATTCCTCCTTTATCTATATGTATATATACAATATTAATATAAATTCCTCCTTTATCTATATGTATATATACAATATTAATATAAATTCCTCCTTTATCTATATGTATATATTTTATCTATATGTATATATACAACATTAATATAAATTCCTCCTTTATCTATATGTATATATACAATATTAATATAAATTCTTCTTATTTCTTAAAAACTGAAAAATATTTAACATTCTTCATTCAGTTGAAATTTAACATGGTAGATATAATTAATAAACTGTTCACACAGAGATATGTCTCGCCTATTTGTTATTTTGAAAATTCAAATGTTGAAATTAAAATAGCAATACTTTAACATGTAAGTTATGCAAATATTACAAACTAATACATATAAACTAGGCAAAAGTGCCAAAGTCAATAGACCATGACTGATGGGTAAGGACCAAATATTCTCCATGGAAATGAGATGTGCTAATGCTTATACAACTGCATACCAATTATCATTGACCTACCACTAACGGTTCCCCTTAAACTGACCTAATCACAAACTAATACATGAAAACTAAGCAAAAGTTTCAAAGTCAATAGACCATGAATGAGGAGGCGGGGCCAAATAATCTCAATGGAAATAAGATATGCCTATGCTTATACAACTGCATACCAAATATCATTGACCTACCACTAGTGGTTCCCCATAAGCTGACCAAATCACAAACTAATACATGTAAACTAAGCAAAGTTTCAAAGTCAATAGACCTTGACTGAGGGGGCGGGGCCAAATAATCTCCATGGTAATGAGATGTGCCAATGCTAATACAACTGCATACTAAATATCATTGACCTACCACTAGTGGTTCACCATAAACTGACCTAATCACAAACTAATACATTGTTGACGCTGCCGCCGCCGATGCCGGAAACAGCATACCTATGTCTCGCTTTCAAGGCGAGACAAAAATGATCTAGTTCACCAATGCTATCTACTTTGTGAAGATATGAACACAGCTACACAATCTTATATTTAAATACATACCATCTAAAGTAACACAATCTAAGTTTTGTGTTCTAGCTATCTGAGTACCCGTTTCCATGTTCCGACAAATCAATGTTTTACCAAATACATGTTTTATGGCACGATCATATTCTCTCTCAAATTTCAGTTTGGAAATCATTGGAATAGCATCCTATCAAAAGATTTAGAAATATTTTAACAAATACAATTTATCATGTTTATAGTACATCATTAAAATTTGTGATTTTGTCTTAAACAGTTGCATTATCATATATTAACACATTATAATAACAACAAAGATTTGAAGTCAAACACTATTATTTCCAACCAAGATTTATTCAGGCTAAGCATACCCCACTCAAAATTTGTAGTATGAAAAGGGCTTACAGGTACATGCTACAGGTCATCACTGTCAAGATATGAAGTTATTCTATTCAGTAACACTGGAGTAAAATGTGTGACGAAAATATATAGCTCATTCGGCATAATGAAGATTTTAAGTATCAACAAACAGAAAGTAGGTGTCTCTCAGATCAGCAAAGCACTCACAAGATACAACTCATCACTGTCAAGCTGTTGACCAAATTTGAAGTCATTATAATTAGTAGTACGAGAGAAAAGTGTGACAAAAATATTTGGTGGATGAACGGACGGAAATGGTCATTGCAATGTGTGGCTAGGTAGCCTGTGTAACTTGACTGTAAAATCTAAAGACCTTCTGACATTCAAACCATGGCCTATCAATTTGATATGTTAATCTATACCAGATACTGTAAATTCAGAAACTATTCTGTGCATTTATTATTGTGATTTTGACTTGACAGACCAAAATATTAGAATAACTTTTGGAGCTGCATACAAATAAATGTGTCAGATTTCAGAATTTTCACACAGACGCATTATTACCTATAATAAAAATCTCACAATAATTTCAGAATTTACAGTACTCCTTTCCACTGGAAGTTTCCCCTCCCCATTTAGAAGTACTTGTCTACTTACATTTGTGTCTGGATAATTTGTATCCCTGGCATCTAATCTGTTAAGGGGCATAAATGTCACCTCTCCTGGTAATCTTAATCTGTTCATTTCTGTTAATATTTTAGTTCCAGTTTTATCTGTATCAACTACATGATGAAATAACCTATAAAGGTACAGTACAGAATTCATGGTATTGTACCCTTTTTTTCTGACAAAATTGACAAAGTTAAATCTGACATTGTATGATTTCCATTGATCGGTATATAACAAGCAAAACAAATCAGTGTTATCTTATCAGATTTAAAGAGAGCTTGAACTAAATCATTAACTGACAGAAATTAATAAATTATAAATATAAAGACTATTGGTGTTCATACATTTTGCCTTCCATCAAGTCACTTATGACTGACAAAAAGTAGATCTTTTAAATGAGCAGAAAGCATACCTACTTATACTCTATAAAATAACCTATAAAAAATAATCACAGAGGGCTGTTCCATTAAACCATACATGGTACCAAAGGCAGGTTTAAAATGGGTAAAAACCTATAGAGGTAAATTTAAAATTTCTCTTCCTTCTTCAATGAACATGATACTAACCCACAGTTTAGAATTCCCTGGGTCACATGTATGTTTTAATGGAACAGCCCTGGCAAGGTTTAAACAAGAACATGACTATTTGGAAGGTTCAGCTAAAAGTGTGAGTTTTACCTATTTCCTGCTGTTACTTCAACACAAGTGAAGAATGTTTTCTCTGTGTCTAAGTTTTCTATCAGGATTCCCTTGTATCCATTAACCACATCACTATACTTCCCCTGGTCAGTAAATGATTGTAGCACTTTCTTTACGCTATCTATACCATTCAAAATTCCCTGAAAAAAAACAATATTACAATAGAGCTCAGCTATATGGCAGTGATTTACATGAATATTGTTAAAGTAAAATTTCCTACAAAAAAACTGTTGACAAATAAACTGCACATTTTTTTTAATGGTCAAGTGCAAATGTTAAATACAAAACAGCAATACTTAACATGTAAATTATGCAAAATACCCAAAGTCAATTAACCATGACTAAAGGAACAGGGTCAAAAAGTTTCTGAGATCTAAGATATTCCAATGCTTAACAACAGCATACCAAATATCACTGACTTAACATAGTGGTTCCCCTTTAACTGGCCTAATCAAAAACTTAAACATTTGAACTATATGAAAGTTTCAAAGTCAATAGACCATGACTGAGGAGGCACAGCAAAATAATCTCCATGGAAATGAGATGTGCCAATGCTTATACAAGTGCATATTAAATATCATTTATTTACCATAAGTGGTTCCCCTTAAACTGACCTAATCACAAACTTAACAAATTTTTAACACTGCCACCAGAAACATCATTCCTAAGTCTAGCTTTTTAACATCATCAAGTCAAGACAAAAGGCAACATTTTAAACATGATCAATATAAACAACAAACAAGAATGTGTCTATAGTACAAGGATGCCCCACTCGCACTATCATTTTCTGTGTTCAGTGGACAGTGAAATTGGGGTCAAAACTCTAATTTGGCATTAAAATTAGAAAGATCATATCATAGGGAACATGTGTACTAAGTTTCAAATTGACTGGACTTCAACTTCATCAAACACTACCTTAACCAAAAACTTTAACCTGAAGCGGGACAGACGGACAAACAACCAGACGAACGGACGCACAGACCGAAAAACATAAATCCCCTAGGTGGGGCATAAAAATAAATTCTGTAGCTGAGGAAACTTCTACAGTATTTTTACTGAGAATAAAACAAGAATGTGTCCATAGTATACGGATGCCCCACTCGCACTATCATTTTCTATGTTCAGTGGACCGTGAAATTGGGGTCAAAACTCTTAATTTGGCATTAAAATTAGAAAGATCATATCATAGGGAACATATGTACTAAGTTTCAAGTGATTGGACTTTAACTCCATCAAAAACTACCTTGACCAAAAGCTTTAACCTGAAGCGGGACAGACGGACGAACGAATGAACGAACGGACGCACAGACCGAAAAACATAATGCCCATAAATGGGGCATAAAAATAAATAAATAAAACAAACATAGCACAAAACAAACACATAGAAGCAGTTGTAGTTTTATATCTAGTTTAGCTGTATTGTAATGACAGAATAATGGAACATTTGTTTAACAGTAAATATTGTTATATGATGATGCACGCTGTTTTTGTACCATGAGCTAGTATGTTCAAATTTTTGACTCAGTGTGTCAGTCTTGTACAACAAGGATATCAATTATTCATATCATGTTCAAATGATGTCATCACGAATATGCATTTGTCTGCTTCCAAAGTACTATTACTCTTTGTGTAGTTACTTACTTTTCCAGTCATTGATCGTAAAGCCTGCTCCTTTTTACTTAATTCTTCTCTTGTACTGGATATTTCTTGCTGTAATATGTTTTCCTGTCTCCATAATGCACTGAAAAATTGTTAACTCAATTAAAACTAGTCATTAAAGGCCAATATCTAATCTAAGAAGTTGACCGACTATTTATGTCCTGCTCGTCATTTAGCTTTTAGTTTTTCTTTATCTACTATTGTTTTGACCAAAGATGCCAAATATGGGGGCAATTACTCTTATTAGGCGTCAACCAAATTTTGGGATATGTCAAATTTGTAGATCTTGTCCTGCTAATAATTTTTACCATTATAGTTTCTCTTCTCCTATTACAGTTTTCATGATAACAAGCAATATCACATAATAATTGGTAAAAATCAACATTCAGGGTCAATATCTCTAGGAGTCAACCAATAATGATTTGTTAATCTTGTCTTGCTGATTATTTTTGCTATTTTAAATTTCTCTCTTTTTATCAGGGTTTCAAGATAAAAGGCAAACATATTTAAAATTGGTAAAAATAAATCATCATTTAAGGGCAATAACTCCTATAACGAATCATCTGAAAGTTTTGGTATACAAATAGAAAATAGGTAGATCTGAACATTCAAAACATATCTAACTATTTCAAATATCCCAGTAGCTTCAGAGGAGAAGATTTTTGTAAAATTAATGGACAACAACGATGGATGATGGATGCCAAATGATGAGAATAGCTCTTTTGGGTCAGTTGAGCTTAAAAGTAATCAGTACAAATAATGAATATCCTGCAGCTATATTTGACATGACTTACTTTCTATCATTCATTAAAACATCTCTTTCTCTTTTCATTTCAATGCTGTTTTTGTCATTCTGTCCAATGATGTCTTTGTTCTGGTCAATTTTTGTTGAAACTTCCTGAAAACATTGGATTTATTTTACTTAGTATGAGATTTAAATCATCCATAACATGATTCGGCTACTTCATAAGATATTTTATAAAAGAAATAGGTACAGTGGAATAGTTTTTTTTTGTCTTTGTACATATGAAGCTGTCTGCAGCTTGCCTCCTTTGCAAATTCAACGTTTATTTTACATTTTTTTATGTCTATACTCCCCAGGGAGAGTTGTCATCAATTAGCAATTTGACAATCGCAAATGCAGTTTTACTAGCGACACCTAACAGAGTCAGTAAAACAGATATTTGTGACGTCAAAGTTCATATTCAATGGGGCAACTCCTCAGCTGCAGAACTGTTATTCCTATTCAAATGCATCACAAAAAGAAATAGTACAATAGAGCTTGTAAAAATATATATCAATGATTTTGGCCCATAAACGTCATGGCAAAACTTGACGTCATCCAAATGAAATGCTCAAATCGAAGGTGATTTCATTACTTGTATGGTTCAGATTTGGATAATATCTCAATAAAACAGTGTTTTGGAAGAATGTGTTGTTTTATTTTCAATTATGTTGTATTAATCAAACGTTTGTGGATTCCAACAATTCAATATGGCTGCTCCAGACATTTAACAGTAAATTTGAGCCAATGAAAAAATTGTTACATTAGAATTGTGTAAATTTAGTTGTTAATTGGAAGTTATAAATATTTTTTTTTCAAGTTATCTGATGTAAGGCCAAGTTTCACAATGAATTGAAATACCAAAAGTGAAAATGTTATTACAAAGTATTGTAATTGTAACAAAGTGGAAATGATGACAGTAGCGCCTAGCTGTTCAACCCAAGTATTTAAAGTCTGTCAACCCCTTCTAATACATATACTTTGAATGATTCTTTTGCAGCATGTCATAAAACTACATTCAACTTCTAACTCTTTCTAATCAGACTGATTATCAATGTATTTTTGCAACCGGTTTATGCATGAAATATTTGCCACTGGACATTGGACATTAAATAACAAATAATCAATCACTGCATCTATCTATCTATGTAAAACATAAAGTATTAGCTAAACAGGAAGTTGATGAGAAATGGATGTGAAAATACATCAAACTGTATAGCATGCTCACATGAAGCTCAACACCAAATTTTAGGAAGCTCTGATTTGTATACATAGTTCCTGAGAAAATGTGAAGACAATCTCATACAGGACAATAATGTGTAAGAATATTAGAAATCGTTCAACAGAAGTAGATGACCCATGAATGTAAATTGCATCCTGCTATGTAGCATGTTTTACATGAAATTCAGGAAGATTTTTGTAGTTCCAGAGAAAAATGTGAAGATAATTTTATACATGGCTTTTATATGTGTAAGAATATACAAGTATTCAGTGAGTGATGAATGTCAAAACTCAATACACAGTAAAACATTCTCTCTTTAAGCCTGATTCAAAATTTCAGGAGGCCCTGATTTTTAGTTCCTGAGAAAATGTGATGGTAATCTCATGAGACCAACTGATGAACAGACTGACAAACTTAAAAGTATTGTTACCCATGGACTGACTGTACTGGTACAGTAAAACCTTCCACAACTGTACTGGTACAGTAAAACCTTCTACAACTGTACTGGTACAGTAAAACCTTCTACAACTGTACAGGTACAGTAAAACCTTGAACAACTGTACTGGTACAGTACAACCTTCCACAACTGTACTGGTACAGTAAAACCTTCCACAACTGTACTGGTACAGTAAAACCTTCCACAACTGTACCTTCCACAACTGTACTGGTACAGTACAACCTTCCACAACTGTACTGGTACAGTAAAACCTTCCACAACTGTACTGGTACAGTAAAACCTTCCACAACTGTACCTTCCACAACTGTACTGGTACAGTACAACCTTCCACAACTGTACTGGTACAGTAAAACCTTCCACAACTGTACTGGTACAGTTAAACCTTCCACAACTGTACTGGTACAGTAAAACCTTCCACAACTGTACTGGTACAGTAAAACATTCCACAACTGTAAAGGAATACTCTCTTGTATCATAACAAACTAAAATTAAGTGATGTGAGTTATTGATGGGAGCCATCACAGAGGCCCCTGCAGCATGTAAATAAGTAAATTGTGAAGCAGTTAAGGTTATTCCATGTTTATGCACAGGGATGATAACTAACTTTTTGACCAATAAATGTACGATTTCATCCATGTACATGACACTCCTTCTGGTAGTGGTAAATAATCAGGTCAAGTTTCATCCCTGAACTCCAAGGGGCTTTAAAGTTAGAGAGGGGGAACGATTTCTGTACATAAGCACAGGCATAGTTCAAATTCATTCAAGTTTTTGATCATGACTTTCAATGTTGGGTTTTCTTTTGTGTAGGAGACACTCCTCAAAGTAGTGGTGAATATAAATACCAAGTTTCATCCCTAAACTCCAACGGTTTTCTAAATTTTTGTACACATGTACAGGGGTGGCTAATTTAATCAGTTTTTGGCCATGACTTTCAATGTACAGTTTTCTTCCTTGTACACAACACATCTTTTGGTAGCAGTGAATAGTCATGCTGAACTCCAAGGTGCTCAAAAGTAAATAGCTGAATGATTTGTAACAGACGGACATACAAGCTGATTACTATAGGCCTTCTGCCAATAAATCTGCAGGGCCCTAACTTACCTCAATTTGTGTTCTGAGATGTTCTGCTCTTTTATCATCATTAACCAAATCTTCTCTTAATCTTTTAATCTGCAATGAAATATGCAACAAAATGTTGGAACTCAATATTTTTTCTACAGATACTATAGCTTTGCCTTAATGCTTTTATGAAATTCATAATGAGAAGTAACTGTTATATCAAATGAAAAAAAAAATTGAAATTTTCCTCTAGAACACCTGTATTTTTTTTATTTTAACAAGAGTTCACACCCTGAAATGTTTCTCCTGATTTACTGATCATCATTGAATTATGTTGAATCTTTAATATAAAGGTTTTAGTACAAGTAACATATAAACTTAACATTAATATCAATGATCCATGTAGATAAGGTCAAGGTAAGATTAACCCTGCCAGACAGACATGTACACCTTCCAATTCTTCTATACAAATACAGTTAACCTATTGCTTATAATATCTGAGATACAGACATAATCACAAAACATATACAATGACCAATGAACCATGACAATGAGGACAAGGTCAGATGACAACTTCCAGACATACAAGTACACCTTACAATCATTCCATACACCAATTATAGTTTACCTTTTGCTTACAGTATCTAAGAAATAGACCATACATCAAATTCAAAAGTTAACATTGACACAATGAACCATGAAAATAAGGTCACTGCAGATGAAACCTGCAGGTCTGATGTATGCCTTGCAATAATTCAATATATCAAATATAGTTGACCATTTGCTTATAGCATCTGAGATAAAGACTTTAGCAGGAAAACTTAATCTTAGTGACTGATCCATAGAATTAGGTCAAGTCAGGTAACCCTTTCTGACAGACATGTAGACCATGCAAGGATCTAATATACAACGTATAGTTATTCTATTACTCATAAGAAATGAGATATTCACAAGGTTTTTTTAAGCAGTCGCTAAACCTTGAAAATGAGGTCAAAGACAATGGAATATGCCAGACAGAACATTGTTACTTAAGGCATCTTTATACAAGGTATGTAGCATCTAGGTCTTCTAGCTTGTGGAATATATAGTTTTATACAAATAGATAACGCTGTAGGCTCAGATTAACATCCCTGTCTCGCATTCTACACCTTTCATGGCATGCCAGACATATATGATGAACAAATCTGTCTTATTAACTAGCAATCTAGCACTATAACAATACCTTCAATAAAAAAGGATTGTCCACATAAAATTACATACACAGTACTGTAAACAGAAACAATTTTAACAAGAAACTATAAACTGATGTATAACTAAACTAACACAAACATTATTACTTTTTAAAATAACATTTAGAAGTCCCTAATAGTATATAGTACTACATGGTTACCTGCTCTTCTTTGTCTCTGATTGCCCTGTTTGTTTACCTGTTCTTCTTTGTCTCTGATTGCCGTTTGTTTACCTGTTCTTCTTTGTCTCCGATTGCCCTGTGTGTATACCTGTTCTTCTTTGTCTCTGATTGCCCTGTGTGTTTACCTGTTCTTCTTTGTCTCTGATAGCCCTGTTTGTTTACCTGCTCTTCTTTGTCTCTGATTGCCCTGTTTGTTTACCTGCTCTTCTTTGTCTCTGATTGCCCTGTTTGTTTACCTGCTCTTCTTTGTCTCTGATTGCCCTGTTTGTTTACCTGCTCTTCTTTGTCTCTGATTGCCCTGTTTGTTTACCTGCTCTTCTTTGTCTCTGATTGCCCTGTTTGTTTACCTGCTCTTCTTTGTCTCTGATTGCCCTGTTTGTTTACCTGTTCTTCTTTGTCTCTGATTGCCCTGTTTGTTTACCTGCTCTTCCTCGTCTCTGATTGCCCTGTTTGTTTACCTGTTCTTCCTCGTCTCCGATTGCCCGGTTTGTTTACCTGCTCTTCTTCGTCTCTGATTGCCCTGTTTGTTTACCTGCTCTTCTTCGTCTCTGATTGCCCTGTTTGTTTACCTGCTCTTCTTTGTCTCTGATTGCCCTGTTTGTTTACCTGCTCTTCTTTGTCTCTGATTGCCCTGTTTGTTTACCTGTTCTTCCTCGTCTCTGATTGCCCTGTTTGTTTACCTGCTCTTCTTTGTCTCTGATTGCCCGGTTTGTTTACCTGCTCTTCTTTGTCTCTGATTGCCCTGTTTGTTTACCTGCTCTTCTTTGTCTCTGATTGCCCTGTTTGTTTACCTGCTCTTCTTTGTCTCTGATTGCCCTGTTTGTTTACCTGTTCTTCTTTGTCTCTGATTGCCCTGTTTGTTTACCTGTTCTTCTTCGTCTCTGATTGCCCTGTTTGTTTACCTGTTCTTCTTTGTCTCTGATTGCCCTGTTTGTTTACCTGTTCTTCCTCGTCTCTGATTGCCCTGTTTGTTTACCTGCTCTTCTTTGTCTCCGATTGCCCTGTTTGTTTACCTGCTCTTCTTTGTCTCTGATTGCCCTGTTTGTTTACCTGTTCTTCTTTGTCTCTGATTGACCTGTTTGTTTACCTGCTCTTTGTCTCTGATTGCCCTGTTTGTTTACCTGCTCTTCTTTGTCTCTGATTGCCCTGTCTCTGATTGCCCGGTTTGTTTACCTGTTCTTCTTTGTCTCTGATTGCCCTGTTTGTTTACCTGTTCTTCTTTGTCTCTGATTGCCCTGTTTAGTGATTTTAATTCTTTCTTGATCCAGGCATCCCTGTCATCTCGAGATGTAAACTGATTCCCTCTGCCTTGTTTTGCATAAAGTTCTTTCCTTCTTTGTTCTGCCATTGATAACCTAAAACATAGGATTAATGATTTCTCTCCTTTTTCTTAAAATCATCGTACAGTATTATGTAATGAACATGGTAACATGATCCAATTCATTTTTTGATCACGGACATTGACAAATGTGTCAGATCAAAGCATTGTCAGTACTGTCTGGCTGCAAATATGGCTTGAACATCCATATATGTAAATTATATCAATCAGAGCCTTATCTAGGCTTTGAAGAATGAGAAGTGACTTCTCCTTCATGACTTCTCCTTCAGGAGAGAATAAGTATTGTTCTATTACTGTTTCATTTGTGTCCTGTTTTCCTATTTATCTACGACATACATTCAAGGAAAGTGATTTGTATGCAATAGAAAAATATACCTGCAATATTTTTATATGATACTGTACTGAAGATATTGAAAAAACTAAATAAAACAAGATTGACAATGAAGTTATTATTAATTTAGCCATATTTCTGTACTGTCAATTTGATTTTAAGATTAAATAAGATTTGTTGCTAGTATTTCATGCATTAGTCTCATATGCATCTATCTCAATTTATCCACAAAAAAAGTCCAGAAAAACTAGTTTGTATCTGATGATTCGTTGTTTTATCAAGAAGTGCCTGTTTAAGCTGCAAAAACAGAATTCCCAATGTCTAGGCTTTTCTGTTTACCAATCATCTTGGTTCATAACTTTGTAGATCTTTTAGGTCTATCATTTATCAGTTTCATCTGTTTTTTTTTTTAGATTGATTGAGTAATTTAATTATCACAATTTGTCATTATTTTCATAATTTTGTACAAATTTATTGTCCTGGACAAGTGTCAGTTGTAACTTGAGATTCTCATGACTGTTTGTAGGCCATAAAGATATCTGTACCTGAAATCACATTATCCGTCAGTATTTTATATTGTTTTGAATGTTAAAGCTTAAATGATAAATTCATTTAATGATCGACAGTACAAGTCCTTGGTCACTTTGAACATCTTAATTTTCCATGTCTGTCGGCATTTTTGTTTACATGTGTATCACAAGTTGTCTCCCTTATATAATCATTTTTTGATTCAGCCAGCCAGTTAAAACTATTTTCAAAATTTTTTAGCCATTTAAATCGTCAACAATATGTATGCTTTGACATTTAGTCATTTCTTTGCAATATTATTATCTAAAACAGATGATTAATGCTCTTGTAACAAGTATTGAAAGGGAAATACATGTGACTTAGTTAAAATATTTCTTACTTTTGTAGATATCATGACAAACTATAAAAATATCTGGAATTGATTATTGCGTATGAAAAATTAATCTATATTTAAAACATTGCTGTATTCTCATGAAATAATATCTAAATTATAAAATATGTTTAATTTTAAGTATTTTTACTGTTTTTTTTACACAAACAACAGTTGCATTTACCGCCAAATTATCAAAGACCACAACTAACACTTGAAGATAATTCTATAAACTCCCTCTGTTGACTTTTTACTATAAAATGTTTAGTTTCTCTTTCTCTGACTTACTGTCTTGTACATTCCTCTTCCTTCCTTTGTTCAGCATCATATTTTGGAGTGATTTCTTCCAGCTGATTCTGGGTCTTTACTATTTTATCAGAAACCTTTTTCAACTCTTCTTCAGCCTTTTTCTGCAAAAGTTGTAAGGAAGCATTTAGGTATAAAATATAATCCAATATGACATGTTACAGCCTTTTTGCTTAGATGATGTTTCCCATCAATTTCACAGTTGACTGTGAGAGTCATTGACAACAAATTGGGCAACCACAGTCAATGTTTTCAGTTTGCTTAAAAATGCTTTATGTTGAACATTTTAATTGCATTAGAATCTCCAATAGATTGTGAACTTATTTATCATTTCTTCCCTAAAATCTAGTCACAATCCTTGTTTTCAATTTATTTTTCTCTTCTTGTGTTCTGTTTTCAAGTGAACTTTAAAACACATTAAATGGAATCATTATTTAAAAGAACTCCACCTCATCTCACCTCAAAGTTTTAGAAGCATTATACTAAATTCTGTTTATAATATACAAAATTACCAATATTTCTCAATGTAACATAATTACCCTAGCAGATTTATCTCCTTCCAGCTCATCTTGAATATCTTTAATGTTTAATTCTAGTTTGGCTTTCTTCTTTGTTAAGTCCTGATTTTCTGAAGTTAACTGTTCTTTCTCATCATGTATTGACTGCATTCTGGATTTCAAATCTCTTAAATCTTTATTTATTGCCTGAAAACCATTTTTTGCTTCATTATTAATGTACATGGTTATATCAATATGTACATACCAAAGCATGAAATGAAATATAACATTTGTTATAATAACTCAATATTTTACTATGTAACTAGCAGGTTGTACTTCATTTTCAAATAGATAATAACCCAAAACATAATTTAAAATATACAATTCTGACATCATAATTATATTTGTATGTTAAAAAAACTTTGCAGTATGTTAGGACTGTTCCAAATTTAAATGCATGGGGGATGGGAGGCTGTTTTTTTTTTAGATACGACCACCAATAATGTAGATTTTCATTTTACTAATAATTCTTACAAAATTCTTAAGAAAATGCAACCACCCACAATTAATTAACTTGATATCCTCTCATCTCCCCTTACATTTAAATCTGGAACATCCCTTGGTATTTATACTCTTGTTGGATTATGGTGGTTAGTGGAATTTCCTTATTTTTTCGGACTTTATTTTCAAGTACACTTTTGAGGATGACAAGCAAGGTTATCTGACAAATTACATTAAAAAACATCACATGACACACTGGCATGAGATTCTAATTCTTCCTTCTATTAAAATTATTGGTAAAACCAAGCATAATTTCTATTTTTAGCATAACAGTGGTTATTGCAGAAGCCATGAGACACATTTTCAAAAGGGTATCATGTATTCTAAAACATTTTACCTTTATTTAATCTATGGAATTCTTCCAAGATTTTACCTCAACTTTATCAGTGGAATTCCTCAAGATTTTACCTCAACTTTATCAGTGGAATTCCTCAAGATTTTACCTCAACTTTATCAGTGGAATTCCTCAAGATTTAACCTCAACTTTATCTGTGGAATTCCTCAAGATTTTACCTCAACTTTATCTATGGAATTCTTCAAGATTTTACCAAAACTTTATCTGTGGAAGACTTCTAGATTTTACCTCAACTTTATCTGTGGAAGACTTCTAGATTTTACCTTAACTTTATCTGTGGAAGACTTCTAGATTTTACCTCAACTTTATCTGTGGAAGACTTCTAGATTTTACCTTAACTTTATCTGTGGAAGACTTCTAGATTTTACCTTAACTTTATCTGTGGAAGACTGCTGTAAATCTCTTATTTTCTGTGTATTAGTACCACTGTTTTCTCTTTTGTCTTGTAACTACAAATATAACAATAACTATATCTCATGCCTTCTACTTTAAACTCAATAGTTTCTGTAGTGTTTAAAGTACTAAAACACATACTAAAGTCACATCTTGTAACTTCTTCTGAAGGATTTAGTAAAAAAAACTAAAATCATTTTAAGGTATAAAGCTGAATATGAAAATTTATCCAATCTTTCAATATATTCTAACAAGCAACACAAAAAATTTATATTAGGTTACATTCTGCTGTCGCTGTATACTGTTTTTTTTTATGATGAAGAAACTTTTGTCCATGTTTTCGTAAAACTCAATAAAAGTTTAACAAAGATATTGATGTCTGAAAAACTTTAATCTTAAACTGTATTTAAATGTTTACCGTTAAAAGGCTTGTATAGTCCGCGGTTTAATTCTCCAAAATTGAACCTGCCAGAAGGGGTGCAGACTATAGAGTACAATAAGCAAGAAATAAGAGAAAAAATTCAATTTTGCGAGGTGGTTTATTTTCGTTCCACCATGTTTGTTATTGATATTGTAGAGGGCACTCTTATCATTTTTCAAACTAATAATTTTACCTAATCCATATTAATAAGTTATTATTATTCAATATCAAATTAATATTGATAAATTTAAAAATAAACACTTCATAACAAATTTCTCGTTTCTTTTCAATGCATTGCTTATAAAATAAACTGGTATCTGCTTGAATGAAACTGAACAAAAAAATTAAAAAAGACAACCGTAAACCAGCTTACGATGTGTAAATTACAAAACGTAAACAGTTATTATACTTCCGTTTTGGTGTTTCATACTGACTAATATGTTATTTATTAGCTTAAAACCCTTCAAACATTAATGTGATAGATATATTTAACACTATTTTACATCAGGATGGAACTGTTTTACTTTCAAAGTCGTATTATATTGATATCTAGTATGTACGGATTTCGACTCTCACCGTTTTTCTCTTCTTTTACACATGCTTTTCAAACTTCCGGTTTAAACATAAACAAGTTTCTAAATTGTTTTTTGTGTGATTTAGACCTATTTTAACAATCGTAAAGGCTTTTAGAATCATTTACAAGCAATTTCAGCTTCTGTTTGTTGATGGGAAATAGTTTTTTTCAAGAAAATACCGCATACAATTTGAAATTACCAGAGTTTCAATAGACCTTTTCTAACAGTTACAAAAAGTTTTTTTACAAAAAATTTCGTGGTGAGAAGGGGGTGCAGATTATGTACCAGTGCAAACTATACAAGCCCAAATACAGTATTGCAAAAAAGACCAAGACCATTTTCAGCCAAATTCTGAAAAATCCAAAAATATATGTTTTCACAATTTTGCTCTGGATACTATATTTTGATCATGAAAAAGTTTTTGTTCAAAGTTTCATAAATAATGAAGTTATTGGTGTCTTATAAAACTTTAACCATAGACTGATCCTAATGTTGATTACACTGAATAAAAATTTAACCATAGACTGATCCTAATGTTGATTACACTGAATAAAACTTTAACCATAGACTGATCCTAATGTTGATTACGCTGAATAAAACTTTAACCATAGACTTATCCAAATGTTGATTACGCTGAATAAAACTTAAACCATAGACTGATCCTAATGTTGATTACACTGAATAAAACTTTAACCATAGACTGATCCTAATGTTGATTACACTCAATAAAACTTTAACCATAGACTGATCCTAATGTTGATTACGCTGAATAAAACTTTAACCATAGACTTATCCAAATGTTGATTACGCTGAATAAAACTTAAACCATAGACTGATCCTAATGTTGATTACACTGAATAAAACTTTAACCATAGACTGATCCTAATGTTGATTACACTGAATAAAACTTTGACTATAGACTGATCCTAATGTTGATTACGCTGAATAAAACTTTAACCATAGACTTATCCAAATGTTGATTACGCTGAATAAAACTTAAACCATAGACTGATCCTAATGTTGATTACGCTGAATAAAACTTTATCCATAGACTGATCCTAATGTTGATTACGCTGAAACCTGAATGTGAATTGCAATGCGTTGCTTCCCCAAAATCGTCAGACTCGATAAAAAAGCCAAATTACCTTCCTTATGCAATATGACACATGTATGACAACAATGGTGCATAATCTTATCAAGACTGTTTTCATACAAAATGATATTGGTAAGTTGAACCGTGTGATCTATATACTTATACTCAATAAATTTTTGAAGTTGTAATGCATTTGTTCAATTTTATCTTTATATGTATTAATGTTACGATTCCTTAAATATCATTTTCTTTTTTAATTAACTAATTTTGCAAACTCTAGTTTCACAGACCATAAAGAGCAGAGACTTAACCCAAAATTCTGTTTTAAGTACATATTTCAGGATAGGGTTATTCCTTTCAATGCAATGATTAAGAAAATCACATTTCATCACCAATAAGTTTCAGTCATTGATCATCCAGGCTTTGATTGAAGATGGGGGTCGATGTTAACCACGACGACAAACCAATATCCATATGCACATAGCTATATTTTCTTAAAAGCAAATAAATAGAGGCAGAATATACCAAGGACAAAATAAAAATTCAGAAAAGGTTGGTGCTGAGATCAAATGACATAGATGTAATCATATCTACATTAATAAAAAGTTTCTGATATGCTTGGGTTACCATGACAATTACTTTTGTTTATGATAACTATACATACCTCATCTAACTTCTTTCTAGTGTCTCTCAGCTCATGGTCGTGTATTGTGTATTCCAAGGATCTGTAATAAATAAATTTCTGGAGTAACCACAGGGTGACTCAGTAACTTGTCACTCTTGGAGGAGATAATTCAGTCAATGCTGGTGACATATATATATCATATTAATCTAAAATAAGTGTTATCTCCTCTAAACACCAATTATCAATAAAAATAAGAAAATGTGGTATGATGTCAATGAGACAACTTTCCATCTGAGACTAAATGACTTTGTTAGCACAGTACATTATTGAAGAAATATAAAACATAAATTCCAGAATTCAAAATGGTGACAGCACTTTGTTACAGACAGGAAAACAGTTGAACTTACACCCTCAAAATATATGATGTGGTCCAATGAAATGAGTTATTATAAGCAAATTGCATTACAATGCTATACTATAAATGAATAAATGAAAAACTATCAGGCACTACTTTTGGCATGTTCTGCAAGAGCCCATGCTGATGCTTATTTTCATTATTCATAATTATGTATGTTCTAGTTAAACCATACCTTCTCATTTTATCCCATTTCTGATATTCTTTTAATTCTTCTTTCTCTTCCTCCAATGTAGCTAATCTTTCCTCTATATATTTTAACAGATCATTTATCTTTTCCCTCTTACCCTCTGCAAAGAAATTATATCAAATATAACAAAGTATAAGTCCTGGATATTGATATATAAAATTTAGTTCATCTTTGAATTATGCTTCTTGTCTGAATCAGATGGTTTTGTTGTTATAAGACAAGCTGATTCAGAAAAAATATAGCTTCAATCTTCATCTTATCACAAATATGGATAAGCCAATATAAAGTTGTTCAGAAATTATTGCGAGGTTTTAATTAATGCAAATAATGTGACTGGGTGAGTATCGCAATAATAAGAACTAGCATTCTGATATCTGATACATATATCTGTATGCAGCTTTTCCTGAAATAGCAATAATTAATCTGGGATTTTTATCCATCTTCAAAAATCGCAATAATAAATGCATGCAATAAATTCTGAATTTACAGTATAGTGAGTATACAATCAAATGTTATATATGCCAGTAAGTTCAAAACTTGTTCACTAATGGTCCAATTTAGAAGCCAGGAATAGTGCAGGTTAATACTGTAACACACTGATATTCCCATTGTATTAGAACATTCAATTTTGACATCAATAAGATTTCCACTACAGATATATATCTTACCGGTTTCTCGAAGAATAACTTTACTTTCTTCCTTCCTTTCATCATACACCTTAGTACCTGCTACTTCACGAAGAAGTTTTAATCTCTGAGAATCAGGAGCTGTTGCCATTTGGTTAATCTAAAGTAATTATTGATAGCTGTACTTATTCTGATCCTAAATTATCAATTTATGGATTTATGTAAATTCGGAAAAATAATTTGTACATTTCTTGTTTTCCTGACAAATACTGTGGATTCATTTATTTTCATGTGTATCAATTTTTTTGACCACTTCTGAATACAAGCCTAGAGAAATGTGTACTTCATTGAACATTTATCTGTGGTTTACCTATACCAATGACATCCAAGAAAATTGGTATCCCACGAATAATAATGAATCCACCGTAAGTCAACATTTGTTCATTACATTTGTAGAAATGTTGTAATAGAAATTCACTTCTGAAAATCACAATACAAACTTTTATCAATTCAAACTAATCACCATTAATAAAATCATGACTAAAACTTTTAAACCTACAGTATATAATTAAAATAAAACAAAAAATGTAGCATTCTTCTGCATCACAAACCTAAGATGTTGGCTTTGGATCCTTTTTATCTTCATTCCCTTAACAACGTGTATTCACAAATTTTGAGTCCCTTTTTTTTTCTACAACTTACTTCATTTTTGAATATATGCTTTGTTTGTATAAATGTTTGCTCAAGCATTGTAATTAAGATTGACATTTACAATCAATAGATAGGCAGTGCTTCAGCTTGTATACAATATACTTAAATGTTATTGGATGTTAAGTTTAATGTATACAAGCGGAAGCCCCGTCTATCTTTTGATTGTAGATGTCAATCTTAATTACAATGTTTGAGCAAACATTTATACAAACAAAGCAAGCAAGTCAACCAAACCTTTAAACTAAAAGCATTAGGAAAATGGTTCTAAGTAACTAGCTGACAAAAGAGATTACCTCTGACATTAAAACATACCTTTCCTTGTTTGACAATATAATATGGATTACTTCTTGAAAATCCTGCACTTTCTAATAAATTCATAACATCACCTTTCCTGAAAATATATTATAACTGTTGTTAAGTTTGGATTGTCGTGGCAAACATCAGATAATAAGTATATTAAGGACTCTATTTCAGTATATATGGCTTGTAATATCATAACAGTGGTGTCTCAATTCAAATTTTATCCAATAAATGTACATTTATTAACATGATTGTTGAAGCTACCTTAAATGCTTTTTTCAACACACTGAAATCCGATAAAACTTTTTACAAACAAGCATTCTGTGAGTATTGCATGGCAATACATAGTCCCCTACTGGTTAAAAATTCATTGTATTGGAACAAAATTCTAACTTGATCTATAACTTGTCATGGTGTAAACTATATAACAAATATCAAGTCAATATCTTCAAGCATGACGAAAAAAGGCGTTGAAAACTGATTATTTAAGTGAATTTTCCAAGTCCAAGGACCATAACTCTGCACAAAATCATCAGAACGGAACAAAATTTGAACTTGATCTGTAACTAGTCATGAGAAAAGTCATGGTGTAAACTATATAACAAATATCAAGTCAATATCTTCAAGCATGACGAAAAAAGGTGTTGAAAACTGATTATTTTAGTAAATTTTCTAAGTCAAAGGACCATTTCTCTGCACAAAATCATCAGACTGGAACAAAATTCAAAATTGACCTGTAACTTGTCATGATAAAACAATGCACCAAATATCAAATCAATATCTTCAAGCATGAAGAAAAAAAGTGTGGAAAACTGATTTGACGGACTGACGGATGGACAGACAGACGGACGGAGTGCAAACCTTAAGCCCCCTTCGACTTCGTCGGTACGGGACTAATAATTTACTTACGTGACCATTTTCTTATCCAGAAAATACTGATCTTTCTTGGAACCAATGACTCGACGTAATACAACTTCATCTTTTTCAATCTGTCAATATATTTAAACATTAAAAACTATACTGATAGAGAAGTTCCATAAAGGAAAACAACATTATTTATATGCAACAATTTTTTGGATGGGACACATGCTATGTATAAAATCTGGAGGAAGTGAAATCTATAATGTAATCATTTTTTAAAATACAGTTGAAACAATCAATTTCATGACGATTAAGTTTCACTTTCGACAAATCTATAATTATATATGGTTGCTTTATTCTATTGTATAAAATAGGAAAATTCTGTATAATATGGAGATTTACACGGATATAAACACTGATTTAGAAGACACAACATACTATGTATTAACTTTTCAAAGGACCTTCAATTAACAAATTACAAGAGAAAGAAATAATGCAATACCATGAACAGAAATACTTTTTTTAAATCATCAACTCTCCCTTCTAATCAAGGAAAATAATCTCATCATTACATGACTAAAATACTTAAGTTCCGTTATAATTTTGTACCATGGTTTTACAATGTCAATTTCTCCATATATAATTTCTTAAATTTGCTAAATCTTACAGGAATTCTGTTATCTGAATTGTCAAAGATGATTTCCACAAATGCTGATATAACCCTTGGTCCTGTCCCTTCATGGAGTAAAGCTTGTCTCTGTTCTGGTCTCAAGTGACTGAACTCATCAGACAAGACAAACTGTATAGCTGCAAATTAATATACAAATAATTATTATTTCCTTTGACAAATCTTGACTAATTTACACTAGATGGATCAGGATTGGAATCCAAGAGGGAACATAACCAAGAAACACCAGAGATACAGATCAGGGTAGGAATGCTCTTTACCATTAGGCCTCAAATGGTCATTATCGGCTACCATAAGCATCAAATTGGTTAAAATTTTATCGTGATTCGTCAAAATATTCTTATTGTGATTCGCCAGAGGTCTCAAATAATTATCTGTTACCGCTTTTTTTGGAAAGAATTAAACGTGATTCGTCAAAATCAGTTGATTTTTTAATTGTTATAAAGAAAATGTACATTTTAATCGTCATTTGGCAAGATTTTTTACCGCTATTCATCATGAACGTATCCCCATTACAACCTTCACAGATGGAAAAGATGAGACAGCAGGGATATAGTTGTGCCACATAATCAAGTCATCAGAAGCAGTTAGCCTCTAAGCTAACACGCAGAGCAAAGACCAAAAGGTCTAAATAAGAAAAAGAAAATACACAATGCACTAATTACTGATGTTTCCCTTTAAGTAGGGTGCAAGATAAATGTCACTAAGCAATCTAACAAACCAAAAAACCAAAACAGTCATAGATAGATTCATCACTTTTGCCAACAGTGCTTAATAAGAGCCAAAAAGTATTACAATATAGGAGTTATATATCATGTCAGAGCCAATGGGTCATAGAAATGAAAATATTCTGAATACTTGAATACTTAAGGGGAATTTATTCATTTACTCAGGAGCATGTTCTGGAAACACTCATATTTGCCAGTCATGACCAAAACTGAAAGCTATTTGTCCTGAACGGCAGATTGGGATTTGGATCAAATCTTTATTTTTTACAGAATTGATTTCCGCCATTTCATTGAGATTTGGTTACTTAATCAACATTTTTGACTTGTTTTTGTTTTGTAATCTGATCCTTTTGTGGCAATAAAACTACCACTCAAGTAAAGTATGATAATCCTGCAAGTCCTCCTATTACCCATATATTAGTGCCTCTGGGAAATATTGGCTAATGATCCTAATCACTTTTTACCTGTGATCAAAAACTCATAATATTATAAAGATTAAAGAACTTAAAATTCCATGACAACTTTCTTCAATATTAATTACTTTTCAGCAAAGACAAACATCAATTCTGATTGAACGAGAGTGCACACGCTGAAATCTCTCGCCTGCTTTACTGACCCTTGATTTTATGTTGAAAGTCTTAAAGATAAAGGTTTTACTAAAAGCATCACAGAAACTCAGGTCAGATAAATCCTGTCAGAAAGATTATACACCTTACAATTTTTTTATACACAAAATATATTTGACCAATTGCTCATGATAATAGAAATACAGTCCATAACACAAAAAGACTTACCATTGACCTATGAACCATGAAAATGAGGTCAAGGTCACATGATACCTGCCAGACAGACATATACACCTTACAATCCTTCCATACACCAAATATAGTTGACCTATTGCTTATAGTACTTGAAAAAACAGACCAAACCACAAAAATTTAACATTGACCATTGAACCATGAAAATGAGGCGAAGGTCAGATGATACCTGCCAGACAGGCATGTACACTTTACAATCATTCCATACACCAAATATAGTTGACCTGTTGCCTATAGTACTTGAAAAACAGACCAAAACACAAAAACTTAACATTGACCAATGAACCATGAAAATGAGGTCAAGGTCAGATGAAACCTGCCAGACTGACATGTACCCATTACAGTCATTACATACACCATATAAAGTTGACCTGCTGCTTACAATATTTGAGAAACCGACCTTATCACGTAACTTTAACCCTGATCACTGATCCATGAAATGAGGTCGAGGTCAGGTGAACTCTGTCTGACGGACATGTAGACGTTGTAAGCAACCCATATACCAAATATGGTTATCCTATTACTCATAATAAGTGAGAAATTCACATGACAAATAATCTCAAATTTTTTTTCAAGCAGTCGTTGAACCATGAAAATGACGTCAAGGACATTGGACATATGACAGACGGAAACTTTGTAACATAAGGTATCTGCATACAAGATATGAAGCATCCAGGTCTCTTACCTTCTGAAATATCAAGCTTTATACAATTAGTTTTAGCCGCCGCAGCCGGATAGTAATACCCATGTCTTGCCTACTGCAGGTGAGACAAAAATTAAAACTTAAAAATTAATTTACGTATAAGAAAGTAATTTTTCACAAGTCAAATGGGTGCATTATTTACTATGTAATATGCATGCATGAAATTGTCTTCACCAGATTAGACAATCGTAAAATGCAAAATGATTTCATGTTAAATAGTAAATGAGTGCAACTATTATCTGTTATATTCAAACACTTTTAAAGGTAATAAAATTAAAAAATCCGATGATTTCCTGTCAATTTGATAAACAGAACAAATCCCAGAAATGAATCCGGAACCACTGGTACTTTAGTATTAATGTTATACATGTGTACCTCAGGTTCAAAATCGAAGGAAGGGTTGGCAATTCCTGAAGTTCTCAAAATGACCGAAATTGTGTGAAAACATTTCCGGATACTTGCTCAGGAGAGTATATACATGTCATTTAAAGAAAGAAAAAAAATAAATGGACCAACAACCCTCATCATTAATTTACACCTGCTTAGTTATAAATAATATCTTTACCATAGAAAAAATTACTCTTTCCTGATCCATTTCTTCCAACTGTAAAAAAACAATACACATAAATGTTACATATGCTACTATAATTATATACTAGTCCCATGCTCTATTGAAATATATCTTAATATCAAAGTGAATACCTGTTATTATAGGTAATATTTATTACAAATATGGCTTAACATCACAAATTTATTATTTAACTTTTCAAGAACAAAATTAATTGCCTGTCAATGATTTAACTTAGAATGTAATAAAGTATTTTTGTATTTATATTTGAAATGTTACATCGATCACAGCTATAAATAATGAACACCTTTTATTGACTAGTTAATTGCTAATAGCTGTCAAATGTTTGTACATTTTACAATCAGCTGATAATTGATTTTGTATCTATTTCATACCATGTAACACTGAATTAAGAGTGAAGGTAAAAGCAGAGAAGTGACATGCTTTGCTTGAAGTGTTTACAATGGTATAAAGATGTCTCTTTGAAAAGTTCTGTGAACACTACATTGTTTAAACAGGGGCCCTGATAGCTTCAACTGGATTGAGACGTTATGGAAAAGTTGTATAATTTCATAACTTAAACGGATTGGACTAACTAGTGATAATGTGTATTGGAATTGTTACAAATGACAATAAATAAAATATAATGAAATGAATATAATAAACACTATATTGGTCTATTTACTATTCCAAATATTCCTTACAATGAAATGAAGGAATAAAATATTTTTCGACCACGACAAGCTGGGTTTTGTCCTGGTTAGAGTTCCTCCATCTTTAAATTTTCATACATAGAGATCCCTGAAACTTAAATTTGATTACTCTCTATAAATAAGAAGATGTGATATGAGTGCCAATGAGACTACTCTCTATCAAAGTTACAATGTATAAAAAGTAAACAATCATAGGTATCAAATACATTATTTAATGTTACATCACTAAATTTTTAATATACAAACCAATAACATTATGTTTTGAACTGAATGGGTCTACAACTGTCTGATCTCTGTAACTTCTAAACCCTTGAATAATAACCTAAAATAATAAATACATACATGACATAAGTACAGTGTCAGGACAAGCAAAGTTTAAGATTGTGAGTAATTTGGACTACCAGCCTATAAGCATGATAAGTGAGATAAAAAAAACTGTCACTTCAGTCTCTTGTTTGGTGTCCTTAAAATGTCTATTGTAATGCCTTGATATTTGGATGTAAATCATGGGTGGATTGGACTAACAAAGAAAAATGTGCAATAAGCATTATAAGCTCTATTTGTATTACATCATATATCATTCCCGATTTATATGAAGCAAATTCGGATCCCAGTCTGTTGGTGCCAAAATTGACTAACCAAATGCTGTAATGACTTTAAAGTTTAAATGTGTGAAGATCTGACTTGAACCCATTTTTAACCATAAATTACCAACTCTGTGTCTCATTGTGCATTTAGGGATCATTAATAATTGTCTTTTAAGAAAGGAATCTCTAAGGTTTACTTCCCTGTCATTTAATTAGTAGAGAAATAGCTCTTATCTCTATTAGGAAATCTGCAACAATTTAGCCGAGAATTTGCAACAGTTGAACTACTGAGCAGCTCTCAAAGTAGCTTCTGAAATGAGGTTGCCAATTGGCCACCAGACATGAAAAGTTAGTGGCCAACTCAAAATTTCAGTAACCAGGAAATAATTTCAGGTCGCCTACATTTTTTTTATAGCTAAACAACCCTTGTGAAATAAAAATATTAAGTTTTTGTTGTGTTTTTATGCTGACAAGTGTAGAAAATAGTTTGTGTAAATCAACTGTTAAAAACCACATGATTTATTTGATATTATAATCATTGACATTGTACATGTTGTACATGTTTTAAAACAGTCTGCCATGTTAAGCGGTAGCCCAAAGCCCAAACATAGTAAAAATCTCATCGGATTTGTGCTGAAGCACTGGTGATTGCCCGATCGGTCAAGTGAACATCTGAAATTGTTTGCTAAATTGTAGCCAGTATTTTATTGAATCTATGAGAACAAGTTACAAAATTGTCCCGACCTTGTTTCCATCCCTTTACTGACAAAATCAAGAACGAGGCTCGACCATGTGCTTTCAATAAACACAATCTATAAATGCCAATGGTTTTCTTTTTAACGGCACGTATAGTCCAAGTTGTGACTGAGTGCTGAAATACAAAGATAGATATATATAAATCCTGTCAATAAGTCAACGACAACAAATTGCTTACAAATGAACTACAAGTACCTGATGCAATAAAGCACTGACAAGATCAAGCTTAAATCTAAAAGGCGCTTGAAATACAGTAAAAATTTGTGTTACTGTCAAGCGCTCAGACGGTTTTTTAAAACCCGACTCTGATCAGGGCAAACTTTCCAAAAATTTACGGTCGCCAGATTTTCAATATTCTAATAGCCTAAATGGCAAACAGTTATGAATTTTTGGTCGCCAATCAGCTTTTAAAGTCACTCAGGCGACCTTTTCAGTAGACTAAATTGAGGGCTGCTGAGGTCATACAACAATCACTTTTCTTTAATATTTAGTAATGACACAATCTTAGACATCCAGGGGTTTTTCTTGGTATTTTGGGAAAAAGGACCCTGGCCAGTTTTTGGAATTTTTTTTACACGATTTTCAATGAAATTGGGAAAACAACAAATATACCAGATGTGAGTTTTAGTGAATTTAGGTCATTAAAAATTATCTTTTTTGTGAAAATAAAGTAAGAAACTACATGATTGCAGTTTATAATTTTATTTTCTGTTCTTTTTGTTTTTAAAATTAACAAGGCACTCAAGTTTATTTTAGTATCAAACTAATGAGTTCTTAAAGCACACATTATCTTCAAAGACAGTTTTGGTTAACATGGTTAATATAATATATAATTCAGGGATAGAAATAAGATGAATTTTAACAGGCCAAGCAGGCTAACACTTTAAAATTCACTTGCTCTTCCAGATTTTTACTGGCCCTTCAAAATTGAGAAAAAATTACCTCTTGGATCTGTAGTTATATGTTTACATTATAAAATCATCTAATATCAACATTTTTTAGTGATGAAGAAAAGTAATTTCACATTTTATTGGATTTTGACATGAATATTTGTGAACTTAAAATAATTTTTAGTTTCTGTTTAAAATATTTCATGTATCTTCTTTTCATATATCTTTTAGTTTTCAATTCTAGTGTTTATATTACATAGGTGAATTTTGTTACCTGCTTGGATTTTTTTTTTTTTTTTTTTTATTCATTTATTATATTTGGTGTCGATGTTGTTTTTGTCAGACAGATATGTTTTTATTGGGATTTACACATTACTTGTTGGCGATTTTCGGTATAAAGCTAGCGGTTGAACAAAATAAACATCGCTGTCATGAATAATAAAGATAAAAATCAAGTTTGAGATTGTTTGTGAATTTTGCTCCCAAAATTGGGGAAAATGTAGGGTTTTTGCCATTGGGATTATGGGTCCCAATACCGGACCCTGTAGAATGCTAGAAAAATCCATGACGTCTGTAATGTTCATTAATGACAGAAATATAGCAATAAGGTGTAAGGTGGACAATACAAAAACAATTTTAAAAGTAATCGTTCAATAGTTTTAGCTGGAATTCAAAATTTCAGGTGACATTAATGATAACAGTTCATACTTATCACACATTATTTTGCTTGTAAACCGATAATTAAGTAATATCAACGACAATATAACTGAATGCAACCTTTCCTTATATATTCAATTGGCGTTGTAAATACACTAAAAGTCACCATGCACTGTACAAACGGGGGACCCGGTATGCAAGACCCGATATTGCAATATTTATAGCTTAAAGGGAAATGCGATCTGACGCATTAAACTAGTATCATCTAAAACATTGCCATAGCATCTTTCTTTACCTGTTTTATATACATCGTACAGTGAATCAATTCATAGTTAATAAATTAACATAAAATTTCGCGGTCTGCTTTGTTTACAAATTGCAAATGGCGGCAAAATTTATATCGCTTACGTCAACTAAAAATTGACTATTTTTACTAAGATTTTACAGTTTGATTGGTTTGATTCAGATTTTATTTAAATATTTTGAAAGAGATCTCATTAAATATTATCAATTTTTGTATTTCCTATTAATTCCTAATGTTTAAAATGGTGTAAGCATTTTATGTAAAAGGTCTATCTAAATTAAACACAAACAAACCGGTCTCACTAATTAGCGACAAGAAGAATTTTAGCGACAAGAAGCGACAAGAAGAATAAATTTAGCGACAAGAAGCGACAAGAAGACTATTTAGCGCCAAGAAAACTTAATAAAAATAGTAATATGAGGAAGGCGCTACCTTGAATGCCAGCTTACAAAGACTATGTCCTACATAATGATAAATTGTTGGTTTGCTTAATGTTCAGTGGCAAATATTTCATGCATGTTCAGGACGAATGTCCTACATATAGTTTTTGTCTACAAAATAAAATAATAAGTTCAGATGGAAAATGTTAAGGGAACGATCATTGAACTCCCAAATTGATGAAAAAAAAATTCTATAAATCAAGCAGAGGACAAACAAATATTCTGAATCCAGATTATCCCCATACCTTCTAGTGTTAATTTTTGACCAAATAATTTTGATTGATAGCATTGAAGCCCTTTGCATGAAAAAAAAAATCTAACTCAAACAAAAAACCATACCCTCCCCCGCCCTTTTGAAGCTAAATGGTTGCACCCTTATTGTCCATATTGTTTTCTGCTGAAAATAAATTTATTGGTGATGTACATGATGTATTTAAATGACAATGCTTAATTTCATTATCTTGTGCCATTTTCAAATCCATTTTTCTTTCTTTGCAAATTTTACATAATTTAAAACAATAAGACATTTGTTTAATTTCAAAACTATGAATACTGCTATACAATCCATAACTTTATTAAATTAATTTTTTGTTGATTTTCATGAAAAGGTGGAGGATTTGGAATATCTTTTTCATCAATATCTAAAAGTTGTAGCTGGTTTTTTTTTATTTAGTATTGCAAACAACGCTTTCTGTTTGTTGAATTATTTTTACTTTCTAAATTAGCTGGATGTTCATATTGTATTCCCAGTTTCTTGCATCTCATATATATGTGATCAGCAAGAGGATCATTCTGATTGTTAAAAGAAGAGTTTGAATTTACAGTGAGCCTGTTTAGAATAATATTTTGATCAGGTTTTTCATTTTGATCTAAGCATAAGGAACCATAAATAGGATTGTTAAGTTGATAATCTAAAGATTTTGCTATTTTCTAGGATGCTATTTAAAATTTGAGGGGAGAGCACTGCTCAGCAGTATAAATGTATTCCTGATCATCTTCTGTTTGTGGGTTTCTACATCAATTTCATGTACTAATTCAGAGTCAGTTTTATGTCATTTTTGCATTTTGTTTTATTAGCTTACTTTTCAAGTTTTTATACGACGGCAAAATTGAATTCAGAATGGAAATAAGGGGATATGTCAAAAATTTCATTCGAGTAATGAATCATGTCGCCGAAGACACATTTGGTTTCCGGACAATAACTTAGTTCAAGTAAATGGATCTCTATGACAATGTATGAAATTGTACCAGAAGGTTCAACTTCAATACACAAAAGGAAGGTAAGAATTGATTTTGGGGGTTATCATATGGTACCAACAGTTTAGGAGTCAGTGGTCAAAAACAACATTTTTGGGTTGTTTTTTCCATAATTTTTTGTTTTTTTCTCCAAAAATTTACCATTTTTACATGGATTATTTCTCATTTATATACAAATACAACAAATACTGATATGGCAGGAGATACACACGAAACAGGGTGTGTAAATTATTTTATCGGTAATTTGTGCATTTTTCCTTTGATGTGTACTTCTTGATAATGTCGACGTCAGTATCAGTGAACTGGTCATGATAAAGAAAATGGTGTCTTCCTCCTATTCCCACTTTTTAAAAATTACTATTCCTTCTATTCCCACATGCAAATAACAATAGATGTTTTGATAAATAATTTGTTTTTATAACAATCAAGGTTAATAAAAAATTCACCTGAGATTTACCTGTATTTTTTTTAAAAGAAAACATATTTCTTACACTGTTTAAGTATAATATTATTTTTAAAAAAAATTAATTTAATACACTTTTTATTTGTAATACTTAAAAATAAAGAATAAGTCAGATAAATAGAAATAAGATTAAATAATCATTGAATTTATTAATTTAAAAAATTGTCATCCGAACAAATAAATTGATGATAGATAATTTTATAACAAACTTTCCCATCTTGCAAGATTTCCATGTACAACAAACGCAAGAAGAACCTAATAGTTTTACCAAAAACTGTTGATGAAATCAACAAAGATGGTATTTGGGCACGTACTACCAAAGGTGACCCATTCCTGCTAACAGACGACAACACAGCTGGCGTATGTTAGACCCCGTTCACACTAGGACATTTAGATCGATTTAAACTAGATCGGTTCACTTTAGGTCGATTTAAGGGCCAATGTGAACGCGTTGAATCGATCTTCAATAGGTCTAAACTAAAACACCAAAAGAGGTAGTTTAGTTTGAATCGATCTAAAGTGAACCGATCTTACTTTAAATGTGAACGCAGAGATCGTTTTAAACTAGTACGATTGAATCGAAAATAATGTATGCGCATGTATAGCGGCACAACTATATCAATGGTTCGTTGTTTAACCCATATTTCTCTTTTAACTATGAAAGCTTATTTGGGTCATTCTATGCTCTAGAAAAAAAAATATAAGTCGTCTGGTTTTATTTAGATCGATTCAAATTAGATCGATTAAAGAAAAATGCTAGTGTGAACGGGGTCTTAATCTTCAGTACTCAAAATAATCTAACACACTTAGCAGCTGTAAATATCATATATATGGTGATGGTACATTTTACTCCTGTCCGAGCCTATTCTTCCAACTTTACACATTTCACGCAATGGTTGACGGCGCAATGTATCCACTGGTACACAGTTTACTTCCAGTCAAGAGCGAACTAGTATACACAAGGTTCCTGACTTTACTCAAAGACCACCAACACCAACTACAACTTCAGCTTACCACTATCTTCCTGGACTATGAAGTCGCCATCCGAAATGCAGCATATTCTGTATTTTCTGGCTTCAACGCAAAAGTTTTTTCCACTACACACAATGCATCTGGAGAAAAGCACAAGAAACAGGGATTCAGGTTCCATACAAGAAAGACAACAACATTCATCATTTAGTAAGCCGTGTCGCTGTCCTTTCACATGTACCTTCTGCTGAGGTCGGAGATGTGTGGTTTAATGCCCTAACCGACATAGATCAGATTGATACTAACACCAACTACATGTCCTTTACAGACTATGTAACAACATACTGGGTCGAACAGAACAGTCACCTTTGGAACCATTACACAACACAGGGACCGAGGACTACACATCTAGAGGGATGGCACAGCAAGCTGAAGAAACATGTCCAGGACCCACATCCAAATGATCAGAATGCAGCCGGTGGGAAGAGACTGGCCCAAAAACGAAAGTATGTCGAAATCAACAACAGATTAGAAGAGCTTAAGGTTAGACACCACAACCAGAAAGTCATAGCAGTACAGTTTGGTGATGCAGCCTCCCACCTTCTTCACGTTGAATAGATTATTAAACTTTAATAGACTTATATACAGTGAATTTCTTATGTGTGTGCTACAATGTATTATTTGTTTTAGTGCTGTTAACTTGTATTGCATGCATTGTTTGTTTCATATTATAATGCTTGCTTGAATCAACTGTTGAATTTGTGTTATAAAAGAAAAAATAATTTACTTATATTTGTTTCCATTTCTTTCATATTTATTTTAATCAAAAACACAGAATTCATACACACACAAAAATAACCTATTACCTATCCAAAAAACACTTGTCAATTAATAGTTGATTAAACAATGTTTATACAATATAATCCTTTGTTTGCACAAGTTTTCCCCGTATTCCCACTTGAAATTTTAACTTTTCTTACCAGATTTATAAAAAGTGGGAATAGGAGGAATGAACCAAAGAAAATATATTGGGTCAGTTTGCAATTGACATGCGTGAGTGCACCGCTAAAGGATCTTCTTTCCCTTTAATTCACAAAATTGCACATGATTTTTTTCGCAGAAACACACAATTTATTTCATGAATGAAACACTTGTCATTGTTTGAAATTTTTAGTAATAAAAAGTTAGTTTTGCCTTTTTGGTCATTTCACTGATTGTGTGAAAATTTGAACAGAAAATGTACGATAAACCTGCTAAAACTGCGTTATCTGCAGAATTATTGATAGCTTTCCTTACTATTCACAAGGACATATAACAAAGATATCGTCCATGCTATTCCGATCTGAGTTTTTATTCATACATAGTCTGGCATGGCTGGTGCTGTTCCAAGTTGTCTTCTCTCTCTGCATGTTTCTTGAGAAGTATTTGTTTGACCTGGTCAGTCACTATAAAGTGTTACAATTCATATTTAGACACAACACATAAATAGTGACCAAAAAGGTACCGCTTTCACATGTATGACATGAGAGAATCTAGAAAAAAAATTAAATGTACACATAATTTTTCAACATTTTTGTGGGACTATCATATAAAATTAATGAGATATGTAGTTGGAGACTGCTGCTGAATAGAAATGTTCGGGTTCACCTGATACCTTTAAATTAGTTCATATTAAAGTTTGAAGGGTCCAAAATTAAAATATGTTTGATTTCAACTGACATAAAATTTTTGGTGTTTTTTATATGCTAATCTACATCTGCGGTTGTATTAGGCTGTGCTTGGCGAAACATTTTATTGCTTTTTTGTTTGAACTTTATTTTATTTTGGTCATGAAAATTAACTTGCAGTTGTGAAGTTGCTTACATTTTTAAAAGATGATAATTAGATAACTTCGCATGGTGACAACACTGACGTTTTCGTAGATTTACTTTTTCCCGGGAATGATTCATCTGTTGATATATTCTCAT